CAAGTCACTTTTCCCTTGCAGCTTTCAATATTATCTTTTTGCTGTTAACTTTTGAAAATCTGAGGATAATGACTCTTGGTGTGAGTCTGTTTGAATTCATTCTGTTAGGTTTCCCTTGAGTTTTCTGGATTTGGATTTTTATTTCCTTCCCCAAACTTGGGAAGTTTTTGCCATAATTTCTTTGAATATGTTTCTTTGTCCCTTTCTTTCTCTCTTCTCCTTTTGGTACTCCGGTTATAAATATGTATAATATTCCATTTGATGGCATCCTATATGTTCCTCAGGCTGTCTTCACTCTTATTTTTTGCTCCTCAAGATGATTTCCAGTGACCTGTCTTCAAGTTTGCAAATCCTTTTTTCTGATCTAGCCTGCTCTTGAAACCCCTGTAGTGAATTTTTGAGTTCAGTTATTGTTTCTTTAGTTCAATGATTTCTGTTTGGTACTTTTTAATATTTTCTATCTCTTTGTTGAAGTTCTCAGTTTGTTCATGCATTGCCCTCTTTACCTCAGTGAGCATCTCTTTATGACTGTCCATTTGAATACCCTGTCAGGCAAATCACATATCCCCATTTCATTAGGGTTGGCTTCTAGAGATGTTTCTTGTTCTTTTCTTTAGGAACTTGTTGTTTTGTCATTTTCCTCAATTTTCTGTTTCTGCACATTAGGTAAAAGAACCACCTTCCGTAGTCTTGTCCGATTAGTCTTGTGTAGGAGACATTTCTCTCCAGTCAGCTTGGTCAGGATTCTGGGTGCCTTTAAACTCTTTGTGCTTGTCTAACTTGCTTGCTATCTTTGTTGTTACTGGCCCCTAAGAAATTAGAGTGTCAAGTCGTGCTATTGCCTTGAGAGAGGTAGGATAGAAGCCAGTCCCTTGGGATGTAGCTAGAGAGATTGGAGTGATACATTTGTATTCTAGTTTCTTCTTTCCTTGCAGAGAAGCTGAGAGCAGGGTTTATTTCCCATTTGTTCTACCCTACACCAAGGAGAGGTCTGAGGTAGATACCTATACTCTGGGTTTGATTCTGACCTTTAACCTAGGGGAGATAGCTGCTGAACATCTGTAAGTTTAAAAGTCACAATTTTGTTCTCTGTGCTCTAGGAGACTCGGAGTGCAGAGCTCCATCAACTCCCAGAGATAGTTGATTTAGAAACCAGTCCCTTGAGTGAAGGCTGTACAAGTTGGGGTGCTTGATGTGTTCAAAAACAATATCTAGGAAGAGTCTGCAGATCTGTACTTACTGCTGGAGCTGCATGGAAGAAGGCATGGGGAGTACCCACTCTCCTATTCAGGCAAGCAGAAGTCTCGTACATTTCTAGCAGGGGAAGACTTCTGGTTTGGAGTTATCATGAAGCAAGCCTGGAGGAAGGCACAGAAAGTGCCTACTTTCCCTCGTAGACATGGTGAGGTCCCCCACTTCCTTCCAGTGAGAGATTGCAGGAATTTATCTCTAGAGCAAGCTAAGGAAGAAGGCGTGGGGAGAGTAGTCCCTTCTGTTCTTGCTAGCAGAGGAGCCTGGCCTCTTTCCAGGGAGAGACTTCAGGGCTGGGATTATTGCTGGAACAAGCCAGGGAAGGAGGTGCAAGGAGTGCCCACTCTCTTATTCAAGCAAGAAGTCTCAGATGCTCCTTGCTGTGGGAGTCTTCTAGTCTAGAGTTACATTGAAGCCAGGGAAGAGGTCATAGGGAGTGCCCCCTACCCTTTCCAGTCGTGGAGAGTTCTCCCTGCCTTCTTCAAAGGACAGATGCAGAAATTTCTCTCAGGAGCTAGCCAGGGAAGAAAGTGTGGGAATGCCATCCCTCCTGTTCTTGCTGGCAGAGGCCTCTGGTGTCTTTCCATGGAGAGAGTGCATGGCTGGGATTATCGCTAGAGCAAGCCAGGGGAAGAGGCATATGCTATCTTCTTTCCTTGCAGAGAAGCTGAGAGCAGGGTTTATTTCCCATTTGTTCTACCCTACACCAAGGAGAGGTCTGAGGCAGGTACCTATACTGGTACTCTGATACCTATACTCTGTTCCCATTTAGGCTGGAGTATGTTTATTCTTCATTGCTCCATAGGTCCCCAGATAATGGCTTGTTAGAGACAGGGAGCTGTAATAAGCCTGTGGCTAAACCCTTTCCAGGGAGAAGGTGAAAGCTAGGCTAATCCTGAGGCCACAAATACTGGGAGTTGCTTGCATGGTTCAGAATCCCCTTTATTCTTATTCTTAAGGGAAATTCTCTGACTCTGATGCCCTGTGCCTGCCCTTCCTTAAGCACAGTGATGTAAGAGCCAGGCTCTCCAGCAGAGACCATAAAAGTGCAGCACTGTATGTGTGGTATAATCCCCTTCCCCCTTGGAAAGAAGCTGGGGGTTAACATTTCCTTCCTGATAATAAGGCCATCATAAGGCCCTGTACTTAGGGTGGAATTGGTGTGAATGTATCTCTACTTTTTTTTTAAAGAGACAAGGTCTCACTGTCATCCAGGCTGGAGTACAGTGGCATGATCATAGATCACTGCAGGCATCCAGGCTGGAGTACAGTGGCATGATCATAGATCACTGCAGGCATCCAGGCTGGAGTACAGTGGCATGATCATAGATCACTGCAGCCTCAAACTGTTGAGCTTGAACGATCCTGCCTGCCTGCCTCAGTCTCCCCAGTAGCTAGGACTACAGACACACACCACCACGCCTAGCTAATTTAAAAAAATTTTTTTTGTAAACACAGGGTCTCACTATGTTGCCCCCAGGCTGGTTTCAAACTCCTAGCCACAGCAATCCTCCTGCTGTGGCCTCCCAAAGTGGTGGGATTACAGATCTGAGCCACGGCACCCAGCCTTTCTCTTCTTTTTCTATCAGTTTTGATGTAGATATTTTCTCAGACATTGAGTGTGTATAGGAGTCTTTCAATTGGATTCTGCCTTTCTGTTGGAGAGAATTGATCCGTGTGTAGGTGTTTACTCGGTGTGGCTGTAGGAGGAGGGACAGTTATAAACCTATTCTGCCATGTTGCTGACATCACTCTGCATTCTGAGTATTTTCTGAAGATAGAACTACCAGATTGTCAGAGGTGTTATATGTGGGGTGAGAAAAAGAGGCGTCAAGGATAATGCCAAGATTTTGTCACTACGAACTAGAATAATGGAGTTGCTATTTGCTAAGATGGTGAGAATTACTAGAAGGAGGAGAACAGCTTTGGAAATATTACATTTGAGGTGCCTTTAAATGCCCCATGGAGATGTCTAGGAGACAATTGGATATATAGGTCACATGCTTAAGGGAGGTATCTAGGCAGAGAACTTGTAGTCCCCAAACATGTCATGCTGTTTTAAGCTTCTTTGTCTTTGAATATCCTGGCCCCTCTGTCTCGAAATCTTTCTCTAAAACACCTCTAGTCATATACATTTTACGTATTACCAAAGTCAGAGCTGATAACCTTCTCTGTGTTGCCAATCTCTCTACCTATTTTTGCGTCTTCCTCTATAATGTAGACGTTGTTTACTTCACATACCACGTATTTATTGAGGTGTCTGCTATGTATCCTGGGCAGTGTTCTAGGCACTGGGGATATAAGGCAAAATTCCAGTCCTTACAGTGGAGGGTGCAGATAATAAATCAGTAAATAATATTCATGTAGTGATAAGTACCATAAAAGAATATAAAACAGTATGTTGGGGTAGAGATTGCATACTGAGCACTACTTTGCAGAGCCTGGTCAGAAAGTTCTCTCTGCTGAGGTGTGATATGTGAGAGAGACCTGAATGAGGTGGAGGAGTGAGCCATCAGAAGATCTGGAGGAGCAACAGTCCGAGCAAAGAGAACAGCCAGTGAGACGCCTTGACACATAGGAAGAAGCGCGGTGTGTTCCCAGAGGGAAGGCCATGTGTCTGGAGGAGCGTGAGAGAAAAGGTCAGAGAGGTGGGCAAGAGGCCAGGTTGTGAAGGGCCTTGTGGAGTTTGGATTTACTCTAACGGTAATAGGAAGCCACAGGAAGGTTTTGAGCAGGGATTGATATGATCTGATTTGTTTTAAAGAGATAACTGTGTGGAATAGACAGTAGCGACAGTTGCATTAGTTCAGGCAAGAGATAAGTGGTGACAATGGAGGGCAGTGAGAAGTGCATAATGAAGTGTTTGAAGAAAAATAAGAAAAAGGAAGAAACAGTAAAACCCAGAGTTTTGGCATGGGTAATCCATCTGCAGGTCCTATTGAATTGCGGTCTTCCCATAATGTTTAGAATATGAAAATCCATTTTACCTTGGTTAAAATGTCCCACATGATCTGTCCCTTGCCTACCTATACCCTCATTCCCTGCCACCCTCCCCTTTCTATGCTAAAGATCAGCCAGACTGGTGTTTTTCAGTTTCCAGAACTGTTCAGGCTCTTTATTGCCTTATCCAAATGTACACTTCCTCCAACTTTCATCCATCCTAAAATATTACCTCTTCAGAGGGCTCTATCCACCAGCCTAACTATTACAAAACTGGATTTTTCTTTGTAGTACTTACTAGACTTGTAATTAAATGAGGATGCAAACATGTAATTTCTACTTCCTTCAATAGATTGTAAATTCTGGGAGGCAGGGAGGGAGCTCTTTTTCTGTCTCTTTATTCCCCTAGAGTCTAGCACAGTGCCTGACACCTAGTGGATGCTCAGTACATACTTGTTATGTGAATGGATACACGAAAGAACACGGATTGATAAGGTAATATTAGGGGGTTGGAAGACATTAAAGTAGTTCTAAAATGCTTTCCAGTGTTCTTCAGATGAGCAGTGAGCTTAAACTTTCTTTTTTCCAGTATCAGAGGATTAATGGCCATTTATTTTAAAAATTAATATTACCTTTGGGTGTCTAAAAAGCTGTGGTCATTTTAAATTCTGAACTGCATCAGTGCCATGAAGGATAGGAAGCTTTTCCTTCTTATTTACCACCATGTCACTGGTGCTCTCTGTACAGTGACACTTTGAAAGCATTCTATAATACATGTTTACTAACATTAATTTATTCTTTCTCTCAAGGTTAATCTGAAGCGACCATGCCCTTTCTGGGCAGAAGATGGCCACTGTTCAATAAAAGACTGTCATGTGGAGCCCTGTCCAGAGGTATAAATAAAAAAAAAATAAAAAGGAAAAACTTGCTTTCTCTTGTACTTTCAGATAAGGATAACCTCTTTTATTTGAGGTTAATGTCAGTAGATTTGGACTTGTCAACAAATTCATATGCTCTCAGCCCTCCCCTTTATAACCAGATTCTTGAAGGCACTATAATTGCCACCAAAATGGGTTTGAAGACACTTGCATCCAGTAATATTAGTGATTGGATGTGGAAAAATAGTCTGATTCTAAAATGAAAGAAAAATCAGAGGCCTGGATCTACACTGTACTTTTATTTCATGCTTTTATTGAATCTGCATCTTGTTTCATAGACAAAAAAAAACAAAAGAGCTACTGGATCTAAACTTCCATTCAGAGTGGGAATTAGAGTGAGTAAAGTGGGCAAATGTCAGGCTTTGAATTAGATTTCTACTTGGCCTGTTACATTTATATTTTAAAAAAGAGTATGCCTATTACCAAGAGAAGGCTACATTTTAGACTTTGATTTTTGACATCTAGCATAATTAACTATATTCTTCCCAATAGTAATTTGTTGTAAGGTATGTTTTCATTTCACTTTTTACTTTTCTTACCTAATCTGTTTGTCTAGTTTTCTGTCCTTAAAAATAGTAAAAAAACGTCTGGACCAGTGTCCTTCCTAAAGGGAAGAGTCTTTAAAAATTTATTATCTTCATTTTCCTTTAAGAGTAAAAATATATTTTTGTTTAGAGTTATATTTGATAAATCAGTTGCAGTAATTCAGATTTATTTATTAAACCCTCATACTAATTATTGGTTTTATGGAAAAGAACATCCATGCCTATGCACAGTTCTTTCTGTGATAAACCCTGGGTTAATCATATGGGCCAAAAATTTGACTCTTGCCTTTTAGTAATCTAAAATGTTCTAAACTTTAAATGTCATCTGAGAGTAGAAATTAAAGTTATGCATAATATTTTTCAAATAATTTTGAACTTTTAAAAGCTTTCTTTTCTGTAGTAAGAACATTTATGGAAAAAGTGTCAGTTTTTCTAACCTAAAAATTATGATAAACTGTAAAGAAATACTGCATTTTGGATCTCTGACTTTGTATATGTTATTCTATACTTTGATTTACAAGTCTGTGTATTGGGATAACTCTTTACTTTTACCTCATGAGATAGTGTGAAAACGGAATTTGAATGGATGTGTATATGTTCCTCCTAGAATAAAATACTGAGTAAATTAGAGCAGTGCGTTACCCATTTGTGAAGAAATCTATAAAAAAATCACTTTTTAAATTATTTTTTTTTTGTTCCTTTAAGAGTAAAATTCCAGTTGGAATAAAAGCTGGGCATTCTAATAAGGTGAGTCCCTTTCCTTCCTTGACAATTGCTGCTTCACATAGTGAAACTTTCCATTTACTGATTGACAGTGGTTGTGATAGAGAACTATAATACAATTGGTTAGTTGGGAATGGAGACATCTTGCCTCAGAATTCCAAATCCCTGATTCTTGCATCAAACAGAGAAATCATACATTCCTAAGCTTCTTTTGAAATTATTTCAGTTCTGTTTTTGGAATCTCTAGAAAAACTATTAAAATGTAACTACAATGTCAGATCACCTACTCAACAAGTGTTTTATCATATAGATATTTTTAATATTCTGTTTCAATTAGGCAACCTGGCAGATGCAGGATTATATTGTATAGAGAAAATAATTATCGAGATATTTTTGAACTGAGTACTTTCAAATGGTATTAAAATATTCCTTTATTAATGATTGCTCTTTTCCTCTTATGAGCATGCCATAATTTATTTTGCCATTCATATATTTTAGATAATTGTTTACTTTTAGTTTTTCACTATTGTATTTAATATTATACATACATAGTAAAGATCATCATACCCTCTCTCTGCCTCCTCCTTGTGCATCCATCCTCTCTCCCTTTTCTTCTTGCTTGTTCTCACGTGTAGTCTTTTGTGTTTACTTTCTCATATTTACTTTCGTTTCAGTTCTGTAATAAAAAAAACAGTATAAAGGCAGTTGAAACCCCCTGAACTCCTCAGTCCCTTTCTACTTCCTCCCTCTCCAGAGTTAACCATTTTTCTGAAGTATCCTTCTGTGGTTTTATACTCTTATTGCACATGTACCTCCAGGTAATATACTGCATGTGTATCCACAAGTAATACATAGATTATTTTGTGTAAAATCTTTAAAATTTTTAAATAACATTTTGTATTTATTCAGATTAAAAACATTTTTTTAGTTTGTGTTTTTACTCATTAAGCTTTTGATTTTTTTTTTTTTTTTTTGAGACAGTCTTACTCTGTTGCCTGGGCTAGAGTGCTGTGGCATCAGCATAGCTCACAGCAACCTCAAACTCCTGGACTCAAGCAATCCTCCTGCCTCAGCCTCCCGAGTAGCTGGGACTACAGGCATGTGCCACCATGCCTGGCTAATTTTTTCTATATATTTTTAGTTGTTCAGCTAATTGCTTTCTATTTTTAGTAGAGATGGGGTCTCACTCTTGCTGAGGCTGGTCTCAAACTCCTGAGCTCAAATGATCCGCCCGCCTCAGCGCTTTTGAAATTTTTTCTCTGTTGCTATATGTGGACTTTGTTCATTCATCTTAATAGCTATATAGTAGTCAGTTATAGTACTGTAACACAGATTAGCCACTCCTCTATCAAATGGTAATTTCCAGGTTTTTTTTTTGTTTTTCTTTTTAGACAGTGATGTACTAGCAGTTTTGTCCTTTGTCTCATGTGCACACATGTAAGAGTTTCTCTAGGTCTATATTTAAAAGTAGGATTGCTGGACCATAGGGTGTGCCTGTGTCAACATTACAAATAATGCCAAATAAGGTGGTTGTACCTTGCTTTTAAATTATTGCCTTGGGATATGGTCTCACTGATAGGAGTGGGTTTAAGGGTTTTTGTATTTTGGGGGGGGTTTAAGGGTTTTTGTATTTTTATAGCTCTAGGTATATTTTGTCAAATTTCTTTCCCAAGAGGGTTTTTTCAGTTTATATCATCACCAACATATCAATGCTATTTGTTAAACCTTAATGTGTTGGCTTATTTAGTTGGTGGAAATTTGTACCTCATTTTCATTTGTATTTCTTACATATGATAGGGATCTTTATAATAGAATGTACCTATGTTTAGTGTATCATCATTGAGAAATTGATTATTCTGCCGGGGGAAGCTGAAATAAAAAGAAAGGTAATAATTATTACTAAACTTATAAACTTCCTTACAGTACTTGAAAGTGGCAAACAATACCAAAGAATTAGAAGACTGTGAGCAAGCTAATAAACTGGGAGCAATTAACAGCACATTAAGGCAAGTTTTATTTTAGTAGTATTAAGAAAATATTCTCTAGTTTATTTAAATCAATAATCTATTTTTCTTGTGATTTTGGTAAAACATTTTTGCTAACCATTAAAGTTTCAACTAATAAATTTTTAAAAGGAAGAAAAAGTTAATTCTTTATCCTAAATTCCACATAGCTTGTCTCTTCTTGGCTGATTTGTCCTTCAGTTTCTAGAATGTACCATTAGTAGCAAATCTATTAAGTAGAAATTTAGAAGAATGGACCCTAACAGGACTATAGGTCCATTCTTCCTGATTATTATGGGAAATGGAGCTTGAACCTCTAAGTCTTTTATAAGTAGTAATTCAATATATATGTTACATTTCGAATGATAAAAGTTGCTATTAGCATAACTGTTAAGTTTCATATATCTTTTTTTCTGTTAACTTTTCCTTATTTGCTTTAAGCAGAAACCTGCTTATGAAGGCCAACATAACTCATTTATAAATGGCCTCAGATTATGCAGTGTATAATAACTGGACATAATCTATGGCTAGGAATGGAATACTGCAGAAGTTCTTTTTAATTTCTGTTTGTGTAGATTTGTATTTTTATGTACTATAATTGTTAATGACTCATAATAAAGTTAGCAGTCTTATTTATTAAAGAAAATTATAGTAAAGAAAAGTGACAGATAATATAATAAACATACCCACATATCCTCCATTTCAAATGAATAAGTACTAACATTTTCTACCATTTCTACCAAGAAACAAGAAACATCACAGATAAATTTTAAATCCCTTATGTCCTATTCCCTAATCTTGTTTTGTTTTCTTTGTCCTTAGAAGTAACTACTGTCATGAATTTGGTGTGTAACTAGTCTATGTTTTTGGTTTCATCATGTATATATTCATATGTATAAATAACATACAGTTTTATTTTGTGTATTTGGTTTTATTTTTCCTTTATATAAATGATATAATACTGTATTTAACATTCTGCTATGTTTTTTCATTGTACATAATTGCTTTTTAGATCTGTGTTGAAACACGTCTCATTCTTTTAACTGATGAATAGTTTTCATTATATAAATACACAATATTTTATTTATTCTATCAGTGGACATTTAGCCTGTTTCCAATTTTTTACTTTTCAAATATACTAGCTTGAGCATTCCTGAATATGTTGTTTGTTGTGCACTAGAAGTAAAATTGCTGAATTTTAGGATTGTCCTTTTGCAACTATTCTTGATATTGCCTAGTAGCACTCCAAAGTACTTGATGTGAATGTATACTGACTCCAGTGCTGAGAGCTTGTTTTGTTCTCCACATCCTTGCCAAAAGGTGATAATGTTTGGTGAGTGTGAAATAGTATCTCAATTTTGTTTAATTTATACTTTGTGATTATTAGTGAGCATTTTTTATCTGTTTATTGGACATTTGAGTTTCTTATTCATTCAACAAATGAATACCTACAAATCAAGCACTGTTCTAGGGTACTAGGAATACAGTAGTGTATATAATAAATAAAATTTCTGCCCTATATAGCATAATCTTCATTGGAGGAGATAACACAATAAACAAGATATATGAGTAAAATTAAATGATGATTGTGCTAGAGAAAAAAAATAAAGCAGGGAAAAAGAAAGAAGAGGGCTAAGAGTGAGGAGGGTAGCACTATTTTAAATTGGGTGGTCAGGGAAGATCTAAGTGATAATAGGACATTTGAGCACATTGCTGAAGAAGGTGAAAGGGTGAGTGGTAATATGGCTGCCTGGGGGCTGAGTATTCCAGGTATATATAAGTGTTAGTTAAAAGGCCCTGTGGCAGGGTCATGCCTAGACTATTTGAAGAACCTCACAAGAAGGCCAGTGTAACAGGAGTACAGTGATCAAGGGCAAAGTAGTAGAAGACAAGGTCCAAAGATGCTGGGGATGGGGCCAGGGGGCTGAATGGTGAGTGGAGATCCTGTAGAGCCCTGCAGGCGATTATAATGAGAACTGCTTTTCAACTGAGTGGAATGCAAAGTCATTGGAGGATTTTAAGCAGGGGCCTGTGGTAAGGGAGCCTGATGTTCTATCATGGAAGACTGGTTATGTGATTATTGTAATACAAATAAGACACAGTGATCAGACCAGGGTGATAGCAGTAGACATGATGAGAAGTGGTCAGGTTCTGGATATGTTTTGAAGATTGAGCTGATGGGATTTGCTGAAGGATTGGATATGGGGTATGAAAAAGATGAGCTTTATGGATAACTATAAGATTTGAAACTATAAAAGTGGAGTTGCCATTTTACTGAACTATGGACCTCAGCAGGAGGAGCAAGTATGATGGAAAACTATAGTTCAGCTCTGACTTGCTAAGTTTAAGCTGCCCGTGAGACATCCAGTTGGAGATATTAAGTAGGCAGTTGGATATATAAGTCTGAATGAGGGGGGAGGTCTGGGAGTTAGTCAGTGAATATATGGTAATTAGTGGTCCTTAACCTGAATAAGATCACCAAAGAGAGAGTGTAAATAGAGAAATGATCTAGGGACTAGGTTTAAGTCATTAACAAGGTTTTGAGGTAAATTGTCCGATCATATCCCTTGCAATTGTTTCTCCACTGGGAGGGTTGGGATTTTTAAGTTATTATTGATTTTAAGCATCCTGTATATAATCTGGTGATAATCTTTTGTTGGCTATTTCAGTTGTTAGGGCTTGTCTTTTAATTTTGCTTATAGTTTTTGTTGTTGAACAGAAATTATTTTTCAAACTTAAATTTAAATATCATAATACATATAGTAAGATATAAAAATCTTAAATTTAAAGATCAATTTAATTTTACAAAGTAAACCCAACTCTGTAGCCACCATCCAGAGCAATATACTTGATACCCAAAAGATTACCATGTGAAATTTCCTAGTCACTATCACCTTCCAAAGTTAACACTTAATATACTTTTTGGTATATAGTATTTTTTTTTTTTTTTTTTTTGAGACAGAGTCTCGCTTTCTTGCCTAGGCTAGAGTGAGTGCCGTGGCGTCAGCCTAGCTCACAGCAACCTCAGACTCCTGGGCTCAAGCAATCCTCCTGCCTCAGCCTCCCGAGTAGCTGGGACTACAGGCATGAGCCACCATGCCCGGCTAATTTTTTATATTATATATATTAGTTGGCCAATTAAATTCTTTCTATTTTTATGGTAGAGACGGGGTCTCGCTCAGGCTGGTTTTGAACTCCTGACCTTGAGCAATCCGCCCGCCTCGGCCTCCCAGAGTGCTAGGATTACAGGCGTGAGCCACCACGCCCGGCCTTGGTATATAGTATTTTATATATAGTAAGAATGTGCCATGTTTCCATTCTACTATCAATAGCTGGATGTTTTCCACTTTGGTGCCATTTCAAAAATATTTCATTAGATACATGTATGCATTTCTTTGGAGAATATATATCTGGGAATGGAATTATTGTAGACACTGCCAAATGGTTTTCTAAAATTTCTACCAAATTATATGGCCACTAGCAGTATATGAGAGTTCCTTGTTCCAAACTTCTCCAACAACTGGTACTGTAATTTTTAAACAGCTTTATCTTGAGGTAGTAATGACATAAAATTCACTGCACATATTTAAAGTGCACAATCTGATGTTTCAATATATGTGCACATCCACTAAAAACATCATCACGGTTAAGACAGTTACCATCTCTATCACCCCCAGAAGGTTTCTCATGCCCCGTGGTAATCCCTCCATCCAGTCTCCTTTCGCTGCTTGTTTCCCAGTTTGAAGACTCCTACTTTAACCTCATAGCACCATCTTGACAGGAAGCACTGGGTTAAGCCCAAGAAATTCTTACGTAAATATTAGGTCATTAAGTATGAAATGCCCAATTTCCTTAAGTACTAAGTTTGACAGTAGATATCTCTGACATTTCACTTTGACACTGCTTTTTTTTCCTTATTGTGAAGGTACATCCTTAGTCTTTCAAATGCACATTTTGGCTTGTGATTATTTTTCACATTTTTTAAGAGCAATTTTTGTGAAACCATGGATAAGTCAAAAATTCGTGTTATTTTTTAATATGAGCTCCATCGTGGAGCCAGTGAAGTGCAGACATCTCAAAATATCATTGAAGTGTTTGGGAAGGATGTGGCTAATCGACACACAGGATGTTGATGGTTTGAGAATTTTGATTCTGGTGATTTTAATTTTGAAAGTGAGCCATGTTGGTAACTCAAAACCAAGGTATATAATGATGAGCTGAAAGCTGTCGTAGAAGCAGATTCATCTGAGTTAGCAGCAAGGTTACTATTCCAACAGTATTGGACCATTTGAAACAAATTGGCAAGGTAAAGAAGCTGGACAGATGGGTAGTGCATGAATTAAATGAGCATCAGGAGAGAAATCATCTCAAAGCTTTCCTTTAAGCCTTTCTTTCTTTGCTGATACAACATAAAGGCAAACAATTTCTATACCATATTGTTATGTGTGATGAAAAATAGACTCTTTTTGACAATTGCAAGCAGTCAGCACAATGGTTGGATAAAGATGAAGTGCCAAAACACAGTCCAAAACTAAATATTCATCAAGAAAAGTTAATGGTGTCTATTTGGTGGTCCAGCACTGGTATTATCTGCTACGGTTTCATGTCAGTCCGTTACAGCGGACATGTACTGCAACGAATTGGACAAAATGATGAGGATGCTTGTGATTAAGCAGCTGAGATTGGTCAGTAGAAACAGGTTAAGCCTCTTGCAAGACCACATGTCTCAAAAACAATGCTGCTCAAACTACAGAGGCTGGACTTGGAAACTCTCTGTCATCCACTGTATTCACCAGACCTTGCTCCAACTGACTACCACTTCTTCCAGGCTTTAGACCACTTCTTGCAAGGAAAAATATTCAATTCTCAACAATCTGTGGAAAATGCCATTTGTGGTTTCATCACTACTAGCTCTCCAGGTTTCTTTGCTGCTGGCATAAACAAGCTACCATTAAGATGGCAAAACTGTGCCAGGAGTTTAGGCACATACTTTGATTGATTGTACTGCTTCTTTTTTGAAATATAATAAACTGAACTTTTGCTTGAAAATTGGACATTTCATATTAATGACCTTTGTATCCATCCCCAAAATGACTTTTGGAAAAACTAGACTAGATGACCTCCAAGGTCCCTTCTAACTCATTTATCAATCAGACTGGGCCAGCTCTGTTAGCATTAGATGCACAATCAGTATCTTTTCCCCTACCATGGCTTTAGGTAGAAGTTAGATGAAATAATCGGCAAAACCTTTTCAAAGGAGGATGCTCAAAGAAAAATGTTCCTTGAGTCATATTATAAGCAAGAAGATAGGAATTTATATCACAGTTGATTTGTTCTTCACTATTTTCAACATAAGCTCTATCTTATTAAACACAACTGTAGTTATGTCACTTTAGCTTTAACTAGATTTTAGGCATTCTTGTTTATGGCATCTTATATTTCAACTGAGTCAATGGATAGAAATTTTTCCATTAACTTTTACTGTTTAAGTCAGTTATATATTCCCATTGGGAAAAAATTCCAAAGTAAATTGAATTGGGAAAATGCATTGATAAAGTTTATGTAGAGCAGCATCCAGCCTTATATACTTCTTTGTAGTGCTTATGTTATGTAGCAGTATTTCAAATACCAAATAAATTCTTAACTGTGACAGTACTGCATTCAGGAATTACCTGATTTGTACTTGGTACACAAACAGTATTTGTATCCTGTTTTTTCCTTTTGTGTAATAAAGGTAGGAAAATGCTTCCCTGATAGATGCTGCCATCATATATCAAGACAGAGAAGGCCTGAATGTAGGTTAAAGTGGATGTAGATCAAAGTTATTTTAATGAATGTAGTTATTTCTTATCAGTTCTTCAAGTTAGAAATCTTGATCACAGATTTTGTTAAATGTGAGGTAGGATGTAAGTGGCATTGGTGTAACCAGTGAATACCACATTGGAGGGAAGATAATAGAAATGGTGTTCTTGGTATTTTGGATCCTATAAGTGTAGGAGCAATTTAAATTAAGAGAATTCTAGAAGTAAACTTAATTCCTACTTCAAAAAGAAATATAAACATTATTACAACTTCTAAGTCAATTGAAAAGGCCAGCTTGATTTTTGTGTTTAACTACATGTTATATGTATTTGTAAATTCTAGTCAAAATTATTGGACTAGGGCTAATAATTTTAGTGTAGTTAAGAAATATAAATCACTCATGGGAGTTAATACATGCTTTTCACATAACTTGTTTTTATCATTCCTTATGTAATCACTAATAATGGAATTTGTGATATCATCTAATAAATAAGTGATCTCAGATTATCTATTTTAATTACACCAGAATAGAATGTTAAAATTTTCAACTCCAAATTTAATCATTTTTCTTTTTTATTCCTCCTTCCCATAGTAATCAAAGCAAAGAAGCTTTCATTGACTGGGCAAGATATGATGATTCACAGGATCACTTTTGTGAACTTGATGGTAATAAAATTAAACTATTGTAATTATTTTAACTTTAACCCTTTTAAAGACAGTTAAATCAATGAAAATATAATCTGAGTCAATAGCTTTAATACTGGGTTTTTGCTGTGCAGTTTTATTCTTCATAATGGCATTTATTGAGAGCCTGTGTCCCAGGCCCTGTGTGAGGTGCCTTAAATACATTGTTTCTAATCTTTGCAGCTACCTTAATATGTGTATATTATTTCATATGTGAGAAAACTGAGTCTCAGAAAGACTAAGTAACTTGCCCAAGATTACACAGGACCTTCTATTGAAGCTACTTAGTTACAGGTCTGTGAACATATTATAAAAATGTTTACACTGGAGTTTGCTGTAGGTCCTAACAAGCTCATGTGAAGATGCCTTCCAATACTGGAGAGGACTCTTAATTCTACTTCCCCACAGCCCTCTTTCCCAGAGTCCCCTGGAGTGATACAAAGACTGTGCACTTTCCACCAGAGTAACTACAACTTCTCTTAACAGAAGATAATTGCAGTGACTCCATTTTTATCTATAGTATAATATTCCCAAAGATTGTGCTGAGTAGGCTGAAATCATTCATTTGGCCTCCCTTTGCCTTTTATCTTGGTATTTTTGGTGGTGGAAAAAACAATTTGGGGTTCTGGCATGCATATTTGGAAACAGCAGTTCTTCTGAACTCTTCATTTTATCTAAATTGATCATACTGTTTTCTAAAGGTTTAAAAAATGATTTACAGGTAGAATTGTGCTATTAATCCAGACTATAATGGAATAAGTTACAGTAAGCTTCTAGTAGAATGGTAAATTGAGAATAATGTCAAGAGGTGGAAGGTTATCATGGTTTATATGGTTTTAGCAAGGAAATTTTTAAGAAATCTGAGCAAGAATTTACTACTGGGCAATTAATGATATAGCCACCTTATGATATTTAGAATTGGCGAAGGTTTTATCAAAGCAAGCCATTGTACTTCTGCTTACTCTTTCATTTGCTCTTTGGTTTTCATTCCCATTATATTTGAGTGCCTAACACTCATAATTACTTCTTTCCAATTTCTCATTATACCGCTTTGATTAAAGTAAAAAATTCATAGTGCTTATTTAATAGGTTTTTAGATTAATAAATCATTTCTGTAATATTTTACTGCTATAGTAAATAGGTATTTAATAAAAAATATTACTCAATTGCAGAGGTTATAAATAAAATGATATGCCATATAACTATAAGTAGGGTTAACTATTTTTTAAAACATTAGTTTCTTAAATTGTAAAAGTGGGAGTGATGTCATAAAAGTTTATATAAAATCATCCTTTAAGTTTTTAGAATTATATTTAAAATAATCAATTTTTCTCTTTAAGGTAATTCTTAGACATATAAAACCATGGTACTTACTAATTGGATTGCCACTACTTTTAGTTCCATTGATTTATACCTATAATATTTTTTTAATCATCACTGTCAGGGTAGCTATAGAGTCATTATTTAGCTATTCCTATTATCTAAATTCAGTAGATTTGAAAAAAATCGAAAGAATATTCACCCCAGTTTATTAGGGAATATATCTGTATACCCCTGCTCCCTACTGTTTTGTTTTTGATTTTGTCTTTATTTGAATGAAAGATGATCCCTATAGAATAATTTAGCTGCTTGATATGCTTTAAGGTAAGCTGCCTTCCTTACCCTGCCCTATTTTTTACTGTCTTTTTTTTTTTTTTTTTTGAGGCAGAGTCTCACTTTGTTGCCCAGGCTAGAGTTCCATGGCATCAGCCTAGCTCACAGCAACCTCAAACTCCTGGGCTCAAGCGATCCTTTTGCCTCAGCCTCCCTAGTAGCTGGGACTACAGGCATGCACCACCATGCCTGGCTAATTTTTTCTATATATATTAGTTGACCAATTAATTTCTTTCTATTTATAGTAGAGCTGGGGTCTTGCTCTTGCTCAGGCTGGTTTTGAACTCCTGACCTTGAGCAATCCGCCCGCCTGGGCCTCCCAGATTGCTAGGATTATAGGCGTGAACCACCACACCCGGTCTTTACTGTCTTTATGCATGGATTGCTTCTTCCTTTGGTTCATATTTCTGCTCAAATGTCACCTCATCAGAGAAGCCTGCTCTTACCTTCCTATATAAAATAGTAACCACTATCACTCTGTGTCCCTTTGCACTGCAGGTTTCCACCCCACCCCATCCCCTGCACTCCTCCTTCAGTACTAACAACTACCTGACAGCAGTGTATAGTATATTATTTAGTTTATTGGTTTGTTGTCTGTCTTCTCCAACTAGATTGTGAGCTACTTGAGGGGAAGGTAGTATCTTTTTGTATCCTTCCTGTTTCCCTAGTGCCTGAACAGTGCCTGGACATGGTAGATATTTAATTAATATTTGCTGAATGAAGTACTTGGTTCATAAATAGCCTAGATAGCCTGATAGATTACTTTTATTTTGTCCCTTAAAATATGTTCATTAATAATTTAAGATCTTTAAAACAGCAATTTCTAAATTTGGCTGTGTATCAAAATTACTTGAGAGCTTTATAAACTGTAGATTCTCCTCAACTGTGTAAATCATGTTTTAATATTAGTGGCAATTTGGAATAGGGTCACTGATGGGAGGCTGTATGTTAAATCCTGAGTCCATAATATTAATATAATACTTTTTATCTGTGACCATAAGCAAAAAGCCTGCACACTAAGAGATGGCCTTCATTACCATTATGTTTTAAGGGAGATATAGGGTTAGGAGGCAGGGATAAATGTGTAGCATCCTGGAAAATGTGGTGTGACCTCATAACCCTAATGTTAAATTAGGACTGTGAAAAGAAAATTTGGTTGGGAAAATTGGTATACTTGAGGAGGAGTCAAATGACTTTAGTTCAACTTAATGAATTCCCAGGAATTTAGATTCAGTGGTAATTGTTTGAATCCTTAGGTAGTAGTTAGCATGGTCAAATGGAAAGAACAGCTTTGGAATAGCTTCATAGAGGGAGGAAGAAGAGGAAACTTTTGGTGGGAGGAAGTAGGAGGCGTCCAGAGAGAATTATCTGGATAAATGATGCAGCTGTACAAATGGAAAGAAGTTATAAGTTAGGAACAAATTAAAATCAGTGTCACAGGTGATGGGGTAAGGATGGGCACTAGCACTAGTGTGTTTGCAGGGACCTCAACCTGTATTTCTCCCACCAGTGTTGCTCACCCTGGATGTCTGGAAAGCAGTGTAGATCAGCACTTGACAAGCTTTTTCAGTAAATGGACAAACAGTAAATATTTTAGGCTTTGTGGACTATACAGTTTCCGTTGCAACTACTCAACTCTGCTGTTATAGTGTAAATGCAGTACATAAGCAAATGAACATGGCTGTGTTCCAAGAAAACTTTATTTACAAATATAGGCAGTGGGCCAGATTTGGTCCATGAGTTATAGTTTATAAACTATATAAGTTTGTATAGGTTAACAAAACCCACCATTTTGTGATTTGAAAAAATATTAAAAAGATTTTTAAAAAAATAACTGTTGATTGAATTAAAGATATAAACATTAAGAGCGCTGAAAATATGAATTTTGCTTAAGAAAGGCATTATAAAAACCAGCATCATTGAGCCAGGTGTGGTGGTGCACCTCTGTAGTTCCAGCTCCTTGGGATGCTGAGGTAGATGGATTGCTTGAACCTAGGAGTTGAAATCCAGCTTGGGCAACATAGCAAGACCCCTGCCTCTGAAAAAAAAAAAAAAGTTAAAAACCCTGATAAAATTGATTTTACTATCAATGTGTACATATATATGCATCAGAAAAAATATATTTATGTGATATTTAATGTTTGTTTAGTTTATATAATTGAATCAATTTTGCAAATGAATTTATTCAAAAACAGCTCAAATAAATTAAACAAATTAATGAATTTTAACTTTTTATTGTATTTTTACTAAAAGCCATACTTTTAATAACTTCATACTTTGAATTTTATTTTTAAATCAAAGTTTAAAAAACTACTGTTTTAGTCCTGAATCAATCTGTGTTCTTGGACAGTTTTTGTTTATCCATCTGTAAATTGTTTTCTTTGCCTTATTTTGTATAGTTGAATATCTTTATCATTTAAGGGCTAGAAACAGAGCTAATATTTTTTTTTTTTTTTTTTTGAGACAGAGTCTCGCTTTGTTGTCTAGGCTAGAGTGAGTGCCGTGGCGTCGGCCTAGCTCACAGCAACCTCAAACTCCTGGGCTCAAGCGATCCTTCTGTCTCAGCCTCCCAAGTAGCTGGGACTACAGGCATGAGCCACCATGCCCGGCTAATTTTTTCTATATATATTAGTTGGCCAATTAGTTTCTTTCTATTTATAGTAGAGACGGGGTCTTGCTCTTGCTCAGGCTGGTTTCGAACTCCCAACCTCGAGCAATCCGCCCGCCTCGGCCTCCCAGAGAGCTAGGATTACAGGCGTGAGCCACCGCGCCTGGCCTAATATTCTTAAAGTCTGCTAAATCATGTTTCCATTTTCTGTAAGTTATATACAACCCTTGTAATAATAGCAAGTTGTTAATTATCTTTGTACTTTGCCTACATCATGAAAGTACCAGGTAATTCTTGGAAAGCATGAATCAAGATGCTATTTTCCCTTTATGACTATGGATAATCCCAACCTTTGATCATTGAATGTCCAGTGAATGTTGTTCACTGATAGGAATATATACCATCAGGTAATGAAAGGAAGAGGGACATTTAATAATCATATTTGCACCCTTGTTTTAAACTAGGTGCAATTGATTTAATCTCATGACAACAAAAGGTAGTAAGCAAATAAATTAAGGAATACATCTGTGAAACATACAGAGCACTTGAACTTATATGTATTATGATCATACATTTGTGAATCACAGTCATTATAATTTTTCTTTTGTTATGAAAGCATGTGTTTCCCATTTCTACCTAGACCGTGCAGAACAATAATTAAGACCATTTTTCTTTTATCTTTTGTATTCCTCAGAGATCTCTATTAAAATGTCCAAATGGTAGAGATCTAGTAAATACTCATGTGAGTTTCAACGTGCAATAGAGTTATTTTAAATATTTCAAAAAGTTTTTGAAAGTTGTGCCAACTATATTAGAGAGTGAAAAAAAACACTTCAATAGGCCGGGCGCGGTGGCTCACGCCTGTAATCCCAAAACTCTGGGAGGCCGAGGCGGGTGGATTGTTCAAGGTCAGGAGTTCAAAACCAGCCTGAGCGAGACCCCGTCTCTACCATAAAAATAGAAAGAAATTAATTGGCCAACTAATATATATAATATAAAAATCAGCCGGGCATGGTGACGCATGCCTGTAGTCCCAGCTACTCGGGAGGCTGAGGCAGGAGGATGGCTTGAGCCCAGGAGTTTGAGGTTGCTGTGAGCTAGGCTGACGCCACGGCACTCACTCTAGCCTAGGCAAGAAAGCGAGACTCTGTCTCAAAAAAAAAACAAAAAACACTTCAATATGTTAACATTGGTAAAAGTAAGTAATATGTATTTTTTAAACTAGAGCATTGTATAGCTTTATGAATAATCAGATTTGAATCACAAAGTTATTGAGCCATTTACTTCCTAAGTCCAAGTAAAGAGTAGCAGAGAAATCTCCATTTTAATACAATATATGTTAACAAAATGTTTGCAAGCATGTGGTTAGGTAGGTATATGCTTAGAGAGGAAATTGAATATAATATTAAAGCAGGTTATCATTCTGTTAGGTCCTTTCAATCCTGGGTGGTTAAAAATTAAGAAATGATTTAATTTAGTCTTTAATAAGGTGAGGGATGTTACATTTACTTAAAAGAGCACTGAGTTTCCAATGGAAGGGGAATAGTTGTGTTTTTTTCTCTCTGAAGTAATTTTTCCAAGTTACTATGAATCCTGGGTCAAGTACGCTCACAAGTATGCTAACCACTATACATTGAAATTGGAGATTACTTGAAAAGACATAGCATTTCTTTTACCTAGTCCTATTTGCTTTGTAACACTGTCTCAGATAAATGGTGAAATGTGGATGGTTTTTATGAATTGTTTCTTATTCAGATGAGAGATCTCCAGCTGCTCAATATGTAGACCTGTTGCTGAACCCAGAGCGCTACACCGGCTACAAAGGGACCTCGGCATGGAGAGTGTGGAACAGCATCTATGAAGAAAACTGTTTCAAGTAACTGGAGGGGCTGGGGCAGGAGGAGTAAAGGGAAGGTGGGGAAAGGGAGTATTTTTGTTGGGAAGATAATTATATATAAAAGTCAAACCATTTTACGTTTGGGTGTTCTGCTTTCTTTTTCAGGCCTCGGTCTGTTTATCGTCCTTTAAATCCTCTGGCACCTAGCCGCGGTAGGTGTTTTATACATACACATACATTCGCATGCTTTTTAGATATTGTTTGCAAATTATCTTTGCAACTAAACTTTATACTGAAAAGATTTTCAACTATTTTATATTTTCTTAATTTGATCAACAGAAGAATAAGATTCCTAGTCAAATCTCAAGATTTGTTTTATATAACTGCTATCATTTATCAAGTACCTGCTATATGCTAAACTATAGAAGCTTTTTTTTTTCTAAAGGGCTTTTTGTTGGCCTTATAAAGTCAACCTGATTCCTCAAAGCAGTCTAGGAATATTTGAAAATATGCTATTTCAGTCAAAGCCTTGGTAAAATAATCCAGCATCTTTAATTCTGTCCTGAGTCTCTCCCATTGAGATCGGGGAGACAACTGAGCTGTGAGCGGGCTTGTGCAGACCTCAGTATGTTGGCCTCCCATCACAACAGGGGTCTCTTCATGGTCGCCATTTCTTAACACTTCCCAACTTCTGTGGTGTCCCGGCATCCTCCCTCTGGATCTTTCAGTACCTCTAAGTCACAGGGCCACGGAGGCTGTTGGCATTCACTTGGGCTTCCCGGAGCGAAAGAGAAAGAGCAGTAGAGAGGACTGAGCTTGGCAGGCTGGTGAGAGACACAAAGCCCCAGATTGTGGGAGCCTCACCCTCCTGCTGCTGTGCCTAATTGGACAGTTGCTACCCCAGTGCCCCTGATTACCTAAACTAGAAGCTTTATGTAAAATAAATTATAACATGTGAGTAATCCATATATATCAGAGATTTCCTGGGGACCTCTTAAGAATCTGGATGCCTAGGCCCTACCCACATAATTCAGTCAAAATCCTTAGGATAAGCACCCAGGCATTGGCATTTTTTGAACTCTTTAGATGGTTCCAGTATGCAGCCAAGTTTGAGAACCAATGGCTTATACCAGTGCTTCTGAAACTTCAGTGTGTATACAAATCACCTAGAAGACTTAACACACAGGTTCTGATTCTGTAGGTCTTGGGTGAGGCCCAGGATTCTGACAAGCTCTGGGTGCTACCGAGGATGCTGACCCATGTCCCATACTTTGAGTAGAAAGAATGTGGAGAAGTTTCAGAAACTTAGGCTGCCTTCAGCGCTACTCTATAGGGCACTGTCCAGTAAAGTAGGCAGTTACCACATGGGGCTCCCGAGCACATGAAATGTGGCCAATGTGAAACTGATTTTTAAATTTTATTTAATTTTAGTTCATTTAAATTTAAAAACTGAAGCAGTGTAAAATATTATTGCCACTGAACAGAACTTTATTGTTTTGGAAAGATTAACTCTTGCATCATGTACGTTGTAGGACGTGTATATGTTGTACTTTTAATTTTGAATTGCATATGTGGCTGGCATTATATTTCAATGGGACAACATTGGTGTAGTCAGTTAGGCACATCTTCATTCTAGTCTCAGTGAGGAACTGAACCTAGGAATAACTCTGTAATTGACCTACTATTCCAATGTTTTTTTAGACCAGGATTGGTTTAAGAAATTGAATTTCCTGGTCTAAATTTGTATCTTTAGGCCTTCTGAGAACCCAGTAGACTTGGAAGGGTTGAATGCATAGACTGCTTTTACATGCTCACTCTATTACAATGTGGTAAATATTCTTCTTCCTCAAACTGATTTTGAAACTGGAGAAGGGAATTTGATAATGAAAAAGATGTGTGGCTTCTTATCCTTTGTCTCTTTTACTACTTTTACCTCATAACTTTTCTATTTTCAACTTAAATGTTTTAATTACATAAAATTTTATAAAAATTGAAGCAATATAGAAGTTATATGAAGTCAAAAGGGAATGCTGTTCCCCCACCCCAAATTTCTGTTCCATAGTACAGAGTTTGGAAGATATTCTTCCAGACCTTTGCTATGGTCAGTTACTTTTAAAGTAGAAAATACTTTTGTTCACTTAATAAAACCCTGGAGTTGTAGGAACACTTCACTCCCATGTTATGATAAATTAGAGACATGAAACTGCTGGAAAGATGAGGAGAGGAAGGAAATCACTATGTAGAAAAAGATGGAGGGAAGAGGAGAAAAGAAGAAAACAAACTATAAAAGAAAGACGAAAGACAAAGTAAGCAGAAAGAGAATGGGCCCTAGCTGTTATAGGAGTACTCCATAAAGTAATTAAATAGGTCTTACTGATGCTACTTACATCCTGTCTCCATTGAAATTGTTGATTAACAGCTCTTTCAGTCTTTTTTTTTTTTTTTTTTTTTTTTTTACATACAGGGTCTTGCTCTGTAGGCCAGTCTGGAGTGCAGTGGTGTGATCATAGCTCACTGCAGCCTTGAACTCCTGGCCTCAAGTGATCCTCCCACCTCTGCCTCCCAAAGTGCTGGGGTTATAGGCATGAGCCACTGTGCCTGGCCCAGGTTTTGTTTTTTTTTAAGTCAGAGTCTCACTCTTTTGCCCAGGCTAAAGTACCATGGCACCAACCTAGCTCACCAGCAACTTCAAACTCCCAGGCTCAAGTGATCCTATTGCCTCAGCCTCCTGAGTAGCTGGAACTACAGGCATGCACCACCATGCCTGGCTAATTTTTTATATATGTTTTTAGTTGGCCAACTAATTTCTTTCTATTTTTAGTAGAGATGGGGTCTCCCTCTTGCTCAGGCTGGTTTCAAACTCCTGACCTTGAACAATCTGCCCACCTCGGCCTCCCAGAGAGCTAGGATGGCCCCAGGTCTTAACTGTGTTTCTTCTATGCGATTCTTAAATTATAAGAGTTAGGCTTCTACAACTATTTTTCCAACAGTTTTTGAGCAACACAACCTTTTTTCCAAAAATGAAATCTTACATCAGAATCCCACATATAAAGCTGACACAGGTGGAGCTGCTATATACAGCCCTACAGCCCAACCTTTTAGCCTGGTCCCTACCTCTAAGCAGCCCTGGGGCCAGCACCACAGTGAGGGTTCATTGATTACAGTTTAGGAAGTACTCTTACTATCTGTGCTGAAGAGCAGTAATTGAAAGGAGAAAAATATTCTAGCATGGAGACAAAAATGTTCAGAGAGGGTTGTGTACATAAAGATTAAAGGAACAACTTTGTATATTTGCTAATTTTTGAAACTAGTGGTTTTTATGATTATTTTTAGTTGCTTTCTGATACTATGTATTGCATCAAACATAGGTACAAATCTTATACTCTTAAGAGGCCTCATTTTTAGGATGACTACACTCTGACCAAGGTTCATGAATATAATTAATAGTTTAACAGTTTTAATTCCATATTAAAATATATAAGATTGGAATCTCAGCTATTTAAAACATTTTCTAAAATCTTTTCTATTTTCTCTTTTAGGTGAAGATAATGGTGAGTTGAAACTCTTATGTTTGTGTTTGCTTTAAGTGTACAGGAAATGTTTACAATGATCAAAATTTGATATTTCCTCTATGTAATTCAAAAGAAAGTTTCCAGAAAATAACTACCAATCAATGGTGACAAATACAGATTATTTTTTATAATATAAAGTTACACGTTTAAAAAAGTGTAAAGACCACTTTACCTAAATGTGTAGTTTGGAAAACCAAGTTCACATTCCAAATTTCCCATTTTTCTGATCATTATCTATTTGAATATATTCTGAGGAAATGGAGAAAAGTTAAGATAGTTTTATCAGATAATTTGTCTTGTGAGCTCTTTATTTTCTTATTGACTTTGAAATTTATAACCTCAGTTATCAATGTAATACTTAATCTGAAGACGAACTTATCAATAATTGGTTACTTCAGGTTACTGAATGAGTATTAGTCATTAGATACCCTGAAAACAGCCAGAATAATTTATTTCAACTGGATGTTTACTATCTTTGTTCAAGGGCACTGTGATCTATTGCACTGTGCAAGGTAGGATGTATAAAACATGATGCCTTCCCCCTAGGAGCTGACAATATATAGTGTAGTAGGAAGGAGAAGCACTATATATAAACAATGGTAACGAAGTAAAAAAATCCTCCTTAATAGTATAGACAGTAGGTGATATAGCTCCTTAGAGGTAAAACAAATCATATCTCACTGGAGTGATTTGGGAAAGCTTACTGGGGGAGGTGGCATTTGAGATGAATTTTGAATAATGGTACAGATTTAGGCCAGTAGAATTAGATAGTACATCCTAGTTGGAGGAAATAGCATGAACCTAGGAGTTGAGAAAGGAAAAGTTAGGCATGTTTGGGGAGACAGTAAGGACTACAGTCCCCAGTCCCCAACCCCTTGGGCGCTGATGGCTGACTGGGCTACAGAGCTCCACTGCCCCTACCCTCACCCAGTGGAAAAATTGTCTTCCTTGAAACTTAGGAAAGGGGTGGGGCACCACACAGCAGAAGATGAGTAGCAGCTAGCAAGTGAAGCTTCATCTGTATTTGCAGCTGCTCTACTCCCCATCTGCATCACAGCCTGAGCTCTGCCTCCCCGCCCCCCCCACTGGCATGGAAGAATTATCTTCCATAAAACTGGTCCCTGGTGCCAAAAAGGTAGGGGACCACTGGTAAGGAGACTCTTAGCAGTAGGAAAGACTGTATAGTGGTAGTTTAAATTAGAAAGATGGGTAGAGATCAAATTATTGAGGACTTTTAGAGTTAGACTTTTCCTATTGGCAGTTGAAGTTTTTTGAATAAACAACTGAGATAATGATGAATGATCCTTAGTAGATGTATGTTGAATGAATGCATCTGTAGAAAGATGTCTGTGTTTTTTGCAAAGGCGGCAAAGTAATCCCCATCATCTAATTTATCCCACAGACTCCTTACTCAGCTCATCTCTGTGTTGGGTTTCCTATAATTTCTGTCACTCTCAATTTAAAAATAATAAGAAAAGGATAGGTAACTTAGGAGGCATGTTAAACAATTTAGGTCCTTATTGACTGCCATCTTCCCCCCCCCCACACACACACACACTCAGAAGAAGAGTATTGGGTCAGGAATAATTCTTTCTTAAAAATTGAAAAATAAAAATTATTCATTTTTATTGTGTCCAACATGATGTTTTGAAATATGTTTACATTGTGGAATGGCTAAATTGAGCTAATTAATATATAAATTACCTCACAAACTTATCATTTTTGTGAAAACACTTAAAATCTCTCAGCAATTTTCAAGAGACAGTTGTTATTAACAATAGTCACCATGTTGTACAATAGATTTCTTGAACTTATTCTTCCTATGTATCTGACATTTTGTACCCTTTCACCAACATTTCCTCAGCAACAGGAATAGGTCTTATGGCATTAGCACATTGATACATCAAGCCCCCTTCCATATTCTATTCATTAACTTTTCTGAAGAATTATATTGAAAATTAAGGGGATTTTTATTGTCCCTTGAAAGTTAATACTGTTAGGTAATTAAGGAAATATACCTAGCTTTATTGTCTTAGGAAAAATGGAATAATAATTTGATTTGTATATTATAATGCACTTTTTTCCTTAAATTTTAAAAAGTACTATGGTTGTTGTCATGAAGAGCAAATTTACAATTGTTAAACTGTTTACCCCCATGCTTTTGGATAATTAAACCCTCAATGAACAAGATTTACATAATTTGAATGAAATGTTTTCTCAAAAATTTTAATAGTCAAAATATTATTTTTAAGAACATTATCTTAAAGTTACTTAAATTACTTGTGGCTTTTATTTCTAGAGTCATATGCCTATTTTTCCATTTCACCTGAAGCAATAGACATTTCTAGGAATATTACTTAATCTGTCATAATAAGAAGTATTTTATAGACCTAACTTATTCTATAAATGACTATGTAAAATATTTTAACCCAATTTTCTGTGCCTCTTTTTAGGAGAATCATTCTATACATGGCTAGAAGGTAAACTTAAAGTCTGTGTTTTAAATGCATTGGCTTTTTGTAAAAAATGTATTGTAATCAATATCTTATTAAGCATATTTAGTTTACAGACCACATTTTGTAAGTTTTATAATTATAGTACCTAGACAACTAGTTTTGACTGTATTTGAAAGAAAATAACATTTGTTTTAGGTTGTTATATTTTGGGATAAAATTGTATAAAAAGTTTGAGGATACTGGTCAGCCAAAAACTAGTGTTACATAAATACACAGGCCAGATAGTGTCATCACATGTTCACAATGGGTTCCCTGGTCTTATTTCCATTCTGTATGTAATGCTCAGCCAAACCACTTTTCTAGTAACCAGTATGCAAATCTCTTTTTAAAGCAGAGATGTTCCTTTTAGAAGGAAGTACATTTTATAGAAAAAAATGAGGGAAGATAAATTTGATTTTAAAAGGTTCTAACCATGTTTGCCTGAGTTAATATAGTCTAAACTTGTCTAATTAAAAGATAAAGCAACACAGATCCTAATGTTTTAGGTACTTTTGCATTCTTGTACTTCCAGTGTTGAAAATAGAAAATGTTATTAATGGAAAGCTTAAGTGTTCTAGGATTTTAACAAATTTAGGTTAATAACTGAATATATGGTGCTTTAAAAAATTTACTTTACCAAATTACCATTAGTTTGTGAAACTAAAAGTTAAAATATATTAGTGAAAGATAAGCAAGTTGAATGATAAAATTGATATTTCATAGCCATAACTTATAGGAACTCTACAGAGTTAAACTAAATTGTTAATTCTATTTTATCTTTGTTAATTGGTCATGTTATCTTATGAACATGATTTTTATTTGTTTTTAATGAACTATGTGTATATATTAGCCATTATGAAAATGACCATTATTGATGTGCAAATACTGTTGACAGTAATGTTAAAAAATGGCCTGTGTAGAAGATGCTTAGCTTTAATTATTAAGCTCTATTCTAAAGATACAAATTGTGGAAAGCAGCTTTTAGGTTACAAGAGGTAGTCTGAGCTTTGCTTGGCCTACTGTCCCTTCTCTAGTCTTCAGCCATTTTATTGGGCATAAGTACTGCTTATAGAGATGTACACTGGAAATAAAAGAAAGTAAACTTCAATTCTGATCATTTTGCCTACTTGATAAAAGATCTGATGAACAGTTTTACTAGAGAAGCTAGTACTTAATGTTTTATTAAATTTATTCATATTATTTGTATCTTATTGTAAACATTCAGAATTAGTCATATACTTTTAGGAGGAAGCTACAAAATAGAATTTAATTTCTATCTTTTTGTCCCCATTGATGACAGTTTGAATTATTCTAGCAAGAATTCTGAATTAGGGAATGAGATCTCAAAACAATTATTTTTTCTTATTAGAGGCTACTTATTTCAGAACCATCCATAGTAGGACATAAAAAGAGAGTAAATTAATCTAAAAGATCTTGAACAGCTGCAAAGTAAGTCACATAAATAATCTTACATTAACACCCGCCAGTGGCTCACACCTGTAATCCTAGCACTTTGGGAGGCCGAGGCAGGCAAATTGCTCAAGGTCAGGAGTTCCAAACCAGCCTGAGCAAGAGCGAGACCCCATCTCTACTATAAATAGAAAGAAATTAATTGGCCAACTAATATATATAGAAAAAAATTAGCCAGGCATGGTGGTGCATGCCTGTAGTCCCAGCTACTCAGGAGGCTGATACAGCAGGATTGCTTGAGCCCAGGAGTTTGAGGTTGCTGTGAGCTAGGCTGACGTCATGGCACTCACTCTAGCCTGGGCAACAAAGTGAGACTCTGTCTAAAAAATAATAATAATAATAATAATCTTACATTAAAAAATCCCTCAGCATATAAATGAAGACAGTATCTTACTTTCCACTATTGAAGCCTATCTCCCTCCCCCTATGGAGAGTGTTAAAAAACAAACAGAAAAAATTGTTGGATGGTAAAAAGAGGAAAAAGCTAATTGCTCTGCATCTAGTGACTTCTTAAAACTTACTTTTCTGCATTTTTATTTATTTTAAAATTTCCTATAAAGAATATTTTTCTAAAAAATTTTTTTACTGTGGTAAACATAAAATTGACCATCTTAATTATTTTTAAGTTTACTATGTAGTGATATTAAGTATATTCACAATCTGTTAGTATTATAAGAGAAAATTTTTAAAAATGGAGGCAGGGGTAGGATAGGATGGTGAGATTATCTTGACCTCTGTCACAAGTTTTGAGCAAAAGCCTGTGTGGGTTAAGAAGGCTGCATAAAATAATCTTCCTTCATTTATCCTGAATTCCATCTCATATGATACTACTCAAACAATATTAATAAATAGTCCACATACATTTTTTTATTAGTTGAAATTCCTAGATATCTGTTTACCACGTTTCAGCTCCTTGCAAGTGGAATATGTAGGTAAATGAAATTAGAGACGTCCAGGGCAGAGAGTTAGTAAGACCCTTCTTTCTCCACTGTCAAGTAGGCTCAACAAAAGAACACATACAGAGAAGGAAAAGGAGAACCAGCTATTAAGTCAAAGCACTGACTTTATAATTATTTGCTTTAGTAAGTTTTTAGCCTAAACCACAAAAATACTTGTGCTGTTGCCTTCTGGGTAACATAGGAACTTGCTAACTGTATTCATAGTGTTTGGATTTCCAGTAGCCCAAACTTTTCTGCCTTGTTTTGTATTAAGTTCTCATCGGTTAACTCCATTCTAAAGCAAGAATCCTATTTTGTATTCTAATAAGAGAATCTTGACCTAATTGTTTTTATGTTATTCTTTGAGTTATTTTTAATAACTTTGAATCTTAACTTTGAAAATAAGCCTATGTACTGAATCTCCTTGTTTCAATATTTCTGTTATCGAAATGGGTGTGATTTATTTTTCAATATTTTTCTGAATAGGTTTGTGTCTGGAGAAAAGAGTCTTCTATAAGCTTATATCGGGACTTCATGCTAGTATCAATTTACATCTATGTGCAAATTATCTTTTGGAAGGTAATCATATTTTTAAGTGGAAGTTTTGCCTTCTAATAGTGTAAAAATTATTGGGGGGAAATTCCTGTCTCTAAAGCAAAAAAATATTCCATTTACTAAAAAATGTAACGTATTCTGTTTCTCTTTAGAAACCTGGGGTAAACCTAGTTGGGGACCTAATATCAAAGAATTTAAACGGCGCTTTGACCCTGTGGAAACCAAGGGAGAAGGTCCAAGAAGGCTAAAGAATCTGTACTTTTTATACTTGATTGAGCTTCGAGCTTTGTCAAAGGTGGCCCCATATTTTGAGCGCTCGATTGTCGATCTTTACACTGGAAATGTAGAAGAAGATGCTGACACAAAAACCCTTCTACTGAACATCTTTCAAGATACAAAGTAAGAACTGACTGTATCAGGAATCTGAAGTTTTCCGCTCTGTATTCAAATGAGGTAGCACTTAAAGTACAACAAAAACTGACTCCTAAAAGTTAGGGAAAGGAGAATTAAAACTAAGAAGGAAGATGATTAATAGAAATTAAGTACTTAAAAAATATTTCTTAAAACGTCAACTGAAAAACATCTATAGACTAGGCACAGTGGCTCACGCCTGTAATCCCAGCACTCTGGGAGGCCGAGGCCGGTGGATTGCTCGAGGTCAGGAGTTCGAAACCACCCTGAGCAAGAGTGAGACCCCATCTCTACTATAAATAGAAAGAAATTAATTGGCCATCTGATATATATAGAAAAAATTAGCTGGGCATGGTGGCACATGCCTGTAGTCCCAGCTACTGGGGAGGCTGAGGCAGTAGCATTGCTTGAGCCCAGGAGATGGAGGTTGCCGTGAGCGAGGCAGACGCCACAGCACTCACTCTAGCCTGGGCAATTAAGCGAGACTCTGTCTCAAAAAAATAAAAAATAAATAAAAACATCTATAGAGTTTTGTTGCAGAAACTTCCTACTTGAGAATAGACTATATCTTAAAATATCACTAAATTTTATGTAGTATGAAAATTCAATATTACTTCATGTTCTTTCTATCAATTATTATTCCAGTTACAAAATTTAAATTTAGATGATATTATAAGTATGTTAACATTGAGATAAATATGTAAAGGAACATTAGCCTTTCCTTCTAGAATATAACCTTTTTAAAATAATGCTTGGTCTATAAAACTTGAGTTTACTGGTTGTTAAAATGAGCATGGAGGAAAAGTTAGATTAAGAAGTAAATTATGTATTCAATTTTAAAAGAATGTTAAGAATTGCCTATTTTTCACATAGGTTATTTTCAGTTAAATGTTTAGATTGTTTTATCATATAATTTCTATTTTTTTCCTCTCTAGCATTTTTAAAATTTACTTTTTATACAATTTCTTTAAAACATTAAAATTTTATAAATTACAAAACCATCTGTATCTTGCTTTAATCTTTTATTAAATAGTTTATATGTGAACTGTTTGTCACCTTCCTATTTTACTAAACCTTACATATGAGTTAAATAATGAATTTTAAATATTTGTTAGGGCTAGAAAATTCTATCAGATTTCTAATACAGAGTACTTGGATTTTTCATCTGTAACATGTAACTGTTGTTTTTACCAGGTCCTTTCCTATGCACTTTGATGAGAAATCCATGTTTGCGGGTGACAAAAAAGGGGCCAAATCATTAAAGGTAAAAAGTTCTTTATTAGGGGATAGGGTTGGGAGCAGTTTACTGGTTGTTTTTTCATGCCATTCATCTAAATTCTTTTCTTTCCCAGTTCTCCAACTTGCTGAAGTTAGTCTAATTGGATTTTACTATAAATGATACAAAAAGCCCTCTTCATTATTTCCTTCTTAATTCCTTTCTCTTTTCTAGTTTAACCAACTGCTTAGTGAATCCTCAGTTATTATTCTGTCCAGTAAGTATTACAACTTTATAAAAGTTGTAATCTTTCTAAAAGATTTTTTGAGAGAAAATTTTTTTAGTTTAAAATCAGTGTATATATTGTTTTGATGCAGCTATCAAAATAGCTTTTAGCTTTGAGGGCAATAACTAGTATATTTATCTAAATTTTATTTTATGGAATATTACAGTTTTTGAAACTGTTGTTTTTGTCCTTTTCAGCTAAGGTAAAACTTAACCTGTTGACCTGTAATATCAGACAGAGAATATATTTTAGGAACATTATCAAACTTACTAGGCATTCTTTGTTTTCATTTGTGTAAAGTACATTAAGAAACAACTTGTACCCTTAAAATGTTCATCAGAGTATTTAAAATTGACTGGCAAATATTCTTTTAGTACAGCTTTACAGTCTTTTATATGGAGTTCTGAAATCCAGAAAGCTCCAGAAACCGTAACATTTTCTCATGTTTGGTGCAAGGTAATTTGTTAGCAAAACCCAACCTGACCTGATGTAAGAATACAAATAATATTCATAGTAGTTTTTTTTTTTAAATTCTGCTTTGTATGAATATTCTCTTACCTTTTTTTTTTTTTTTTTTTTGAGACAGAGTCTCACTTTTGTTGCCCAGGCTAGAGTGAGTGCCGTGGCGTCAGCCTAGCTCACAGCAACCTCAAACTCCTGGGCTCAAGCGATCCTCCTGCCTCAGCCTCCCGAGTAGCTGGGACTACAGGCATGCACCACCATGCCCGGCTAATTTTTTTCTATATATACTTTTAGTTGGCCAATTAATTTCTTTCTGTTTTTAGTAGAGACAGGGTATCGCTCAGGCTGGTTTCGAACTCCCGACCTTGAGCAATCCTCCCACCTCGGCCTCCCAGAGTGCTAGGATTACAGGCGTGAGCCACCGCGCCCGGCTCTCTTACCTTTTGCTGCAGAATCATTAATGTATTTGACCTCAGGGTGTTGCCTCACACTCTGGTGGGGGATTTCATAATATACAGAGTATGTACTGTATTTCTAAAATTTAAACAATTCTGAATTCTGAATCACATTTGACCTCAGTGTATTTTAGATACAGCTGTACTATAAGAACCAGTAAATGAATACTGAGTGATTCTCCATTGGTGAGAATTTCTTGGTATTTCTGTAATAAGTAATTTAGCTCCGACTATATGTCAGTGTTGGAGGGTGGTTTGGCATAACAGCTGTTTTAGAGGTAAATTGCTATTGTGGTATTTAATGTTATTTCATTTTTATAATGCTTCCTCTTTTCTAAGTATTCACACAAATATTCTACTTTTTATCTTCAGGATGCTCTTCTGTAACAGACAGGGCAACTGTAATTATGTATATTTTTATAGATGAGGAAAGTGAGACTAAGCAAGGCCTACGGTCTCACAACAAGCTTTCAACTACACAATGCTGGAATTTTGTTTGCTATTTTTCAAGGGTGTATAAAGGAGAACCTAAGTCCACTTTCCATCTGTTCCAAAGAACATGCATTACATGAGAATGGCCAGCAAAGGAGTTTTTGTGTTCTACTTATATTGTCTTTTTTTTGTCAAGGTATTGATTCTTTTCAACCCTTTGGGCAGCTGGACAGGGCTTTGTGGTGGCCAGAGTTTTCAGGCTACTTGCCTCCAGCTTCATGCAGTAAAGTGTTTCCCTCAGTGTGATAGAATAGTTTCTGCTTTCCTCGGTTGCCATGTGAAATGGATGAGGACACTTTGTCTTAACCAATGTTCCTCAGATAAGGTGAGCTTAATCTTAGAGGCATATCACACACACATGCTTACAGGCAGAAGAGTTTCTTCTATGTAGGAAACTACTTCCACAAAATACAGGGATGTGGTAAGTGTCTGTAGAATCTGCATTAGCAAACATGGGAAACTGGGACCATACACTTCACAGAGGCCTGTCACCACTGATGTTAATTGAGCAACCATGACAAAAACATAGTATAATACTAAGGAGTGACAATAAAAATTGATGATTATTCTAGGACTAGCTTTCTGATATAGGATCACACAAAGCATCAAAAATAAATGAAACATAAAATAGCTGTATTTATCACTGGGTGTATGTAGATATCAAATGGAAGCAGCAGTTAAGTTCCTTGAAAGTAAAGACCATGTATTATTTACTTTTGTGTCTCCCATAGTGCACATTTTGGTGTTTTGCATAAAGTAACCCCTCAGTAGGCTGGGTCCAGTGGTTCACGCCTGTAATCCTAGCACTCTGGGAGGCCGAGGTGGGCGGATTGCTCGAGGTCAGGAGTTTGAAACCAGCCTGAGCAAGAGTGAGACCCCATCTCTACTATAAATAGAAAGAAACTAATTGGCCAACTAATATATATAGAAAAAATTAGCTGGGCATGGTGGCACATGCCTATAGTCCCAGCTACTCGGTAGGCTGGGGCAAGAGGATTGCCTGAACCCAGGAGTTTGAGGTTGCTGTGAGCTAGGCTGATGCCACGGCACTCACTCTAGCCTGGGCAACAAAGCGAGACTCTGTCTCAAAAAAATAAAGTAAACCCCCTCAGTAAAAAGTTTGTTGAAGTAACATGTAGAATGAATTTTATTAATAACATCAGTTGTTTTATGTGCTCTGTTATGCAATACAAATTCAAATATTTTCTTCAGTATTGAAAAACACAACTCTAATAAACTTCAAAAACTTTTCTTATAGTTCAGCCAAATGCAATTTAATTTTAAAAGTCTAATTATACTGAAATTATTTTCTGCATACTAGGAGGAATTCCGATTACATTTCAAGAATATTTCCCGTATAATGGACTGTGTTGGATGTGACAAATGCAGATTATGGGGAAAATTACAGGTCTGTGTGTTGTTGTCTTCTCTTTTGAAACTATTATTCATCTTAAGTTTTTCCACTGAGTTCAAAATTTTTATTAAAATATCCTCATTGTTCATTGAACTAGAGTTAAGAAATAGGCAGATCCAAAGTGTGATTTTTCTGTTTTATTGATAAAAAAATAATATTATTAAACTACGTGTTATATGTGTATGTGTAAGGATGTTTTTGTATTAGTCTATGTAATGATTTTAGTTTTATCTATGTTTTTGTCTTGGTACAATTCATTTCTGAAGTCGGTAGTTATGAACAGAGTATATAAAAGGTAAAAATACAATTATATAAAAAGACTTAAATATCAAATTTGGTTATTGAATTTGTTTCAATGATCAAAATAAGACCACCTAGTCACAAAATAGGAAACTTCTGCAAGGCAGGCCCATTACCCTATATATTCAGGGTAAAATGGACTGTTTGGTATTTTCTCTCTTATTTTCTTACAAAGATGATAATTTATAGCAAAGAGACAGAATTATAATAATGGAGGCTACAGTGAAATCAAATCTTTTTCTCTAGTGCTAATAATTGAAAAATTAAGTGTAGGCATCACTAATCTCTGAGTTTTGAATTTGCTAAAGGATATAGAAAATACTTTTAATGTTACAAACTGAACATTGTAATCCTAATGTGATTATTTTCAAAGTTAAAAAAAGGCATTTTAGTAATTTGGAGAATAGTATGATATGTATCTAGTGTTAGGCTATTCAGGTTTCATTAACAGCTTAAATTTATCATGTACATAACCTGTGAGGTTTACTGTAGCTTAACATTTTGGTGAAAAGCTCAGTTCATATGAATTTCCTAACTGTTGTAACAGTGGCTGGTTAAGTATTCCTTTAAACTTTTATAGTAGTTAATTATGTAAAGTTGATTGTAAGTTTTTTGCTATTTTCTTTAGACTCAGGGTTTAGGAACTGCCCTGAAGATATTATTCTCTGAAAAAGAAATCCAAAAGCTTCCAGAGAACAGCCCATCTAAAGGATTCCAACTCACGCGACAGGAAATAGTTGCTCTTTTAAATGCTTTTGGACGGTAAGAACCATTTTTACAGTGAAAGACTTCTGATTCCTCTTCAGGTTTCAACAAACTGCAAAGATCGTCTTCTCTGCTAACGTAGGGTTTGTTTTGTTGACAAAAAGATACAATTATATTATACCTTTACTCACTTAGAGTGGCTGTAATGCTGACAAGTCAGTTTCCCTATAGGTCATAGGAAAAATTAAGTTTCTATTAAAAGTAATAGAATATTTCTCAGTTTGCCACCTCAATTTTGTGGGAAAACTATTAACATTCTCCTAATAGTTTCTTTAGCCAGCTCCAACATGTTCAAACACAATTAGCAGGAGTAAGGACGAAAGCTTGGATGAAGTGATAAAAGAAAAAGAGATTAAATCCTTTATCTGCTCTTTATTTCTTAAGCTGAGGAGTCATTTTTCTTTCCCTCATTTTTTTCTGTCTACAGACATACAGTTTGCTTGCTTGTTTACATCACCAGTGGTTTAAAAAATAATTTGAATTTATCTGCATAGATACATGTAATACCAACTGGGGACTATAGAAGGAAAAGAATCATAGACAATAAATAATACTCTGCTGCCTTGGAAAAAAGGGCAAAAAGTGAAATGAAGGAAGAATTTTTTGTTAAATAGGGGACTCAAGTGATATAGACATTATTCCTTAATATGCATCTTAAGTTAAAAAGAAGCAGTTAAATTAGAAATAGAATATACATTTGCCATCTTAATAGCAAAGATTTTACCTGTTGCTCCCCTATATTTAAAGATGACTATGTAGGTTGACATCCCAAACATAAGATAGACAATAGAATGTCCATTGTTAATTGGTATTGATATTTCATGAAAAATTCAGTCTACCCACTCATGAGGCCTATAGAAAGATAACACAGGAGAAACTGAATGAAATTTAAATTATTTAAAATGAAATTGAAATGAAAAAGATTTTAAACAATTTAAACATTTTAAGTCCAAATAAAATTAAATTGAGAAAGATGAAAAAAATTGAATTTCATCAGAATTTCCCTGGTTCTCAAAAAGAATATTCATAAATACAACCCGTCCTGCTCTAAAGAATACTAGAGTTCTGGGATCCTGGTTGCCTTTTAGTAGTAGTGTGAGCTCAAGCATATCACTATTCTATATTAGCTTGTTTCCTTTCTCTATAAAATGAGGATAAGAAAACTTTTCTCACTGGTTAGAATCCACCTACTAGCCAGATAACTCTGAGTAAGTTACTTGATTTGAGCCTCAGTTTTCCTAAAATGTAAAATCAGGGTTAATTATATCTGCCTATAGTATTTTTAATGTTAAGATCATAAATATGGTGGGCTTACAACATTGCCTGACATTAAGCTTTCAATAGATAACTATTCATCAAGTATTTAAGAGTAAAAAGGAGCTAAATACTGCATACTATATCACCGTAAGTTATAATAAATAAAGAAAAACATTTTTCTTGTTTCAACCGTGAATGGTACATAAGGATAATAGAGCTTATAGGATTATTTTTTTGTGATTCCCATTCTAGAGTTTTATTGTTGGGTCTGGGCTGAAAAACACTTCATTCATTCATTCAATCAGTAATCATTTATTGAATACCATAAGTATCGATGGGTACAGGGCACACGGACAGAGACTCAGTGGGAGAGTCTTTACCCTTAGGGAGCTAACAACATAAAACAAATTAGTCTGTTTGGGAAGCAATGTTAAAGGAGTGGTCATTTGGAGAGGAATGTGCAAAATGAATTTATAAAACTAAATGTAGGTTGGGCGCAGTGGCTCTCACGCCTGTAATCCTGGCTCTCTCTGGGAGGCCTAGGCAGGAGGATCACTCAAGGTCAGAAGTTTGAGACTAGCCTGAGCAAGAGTGAGACCCTGTTTCTACTAAAAATAGAAAGAAATTAATTGGCTAACTGAAAATATATAGAAAAAAAAATTAGCTGGGCATGGTGGCACACGCCTGTAGTCCCAGCTACTCGGGAGGCTAAGGCAGAAGGATCGCTTGAGCCCAAGAGTTTGAGGTTGCTGTGAGCTAGGCTGATGTCACGGCACTCTAGCCCAGGCAACAAAGTGAGATTCTGTCTCATAAAAATAAAATAAAATAAAAAACCAAATGTAAATAATTTTTGAGGTTCTTACTCATATCACTGTTCCCATATTAACCTCACATCAGTGGATAATATGAAGTTAACCGCCTTCCTTTGCCCTTTCTAAGCCAAGACCAAAGAACCATAGCTCCATGTTTTGTCAATATTTAATAAGAAACTATAGCATACTAATTTAAGAGTAGAAGCTTCCATGTTTAGTGTTGCTTGCATTTTTTTCTTTTAGATTTGCTTTTAAATCATAGCCTATGTATCAGTCATCTGAAATATGTATGTTTCATGTACATAGTATCATGCTGTACTAATGTGCTTTTTTTTCTCCTATAGGCTTTCTACAAGTATAAGAGAGTTACAGAATTTTAAAGTCTTATTACAACACAGTAGGTAATAAAGGCTTTTATATGTCTAACTAGAGACATAAAGTGACTATGTAAAAGCCTTTTAATCTTGGACATTCAGCAGAAAGAGACTAATCTTCTAAGATTTCAAGAATTCTGAACTCTTAAAAAATTCAAATGCTCACTTGAATATTTATGATTCTTCATAGATTATTATCAACTAGAAATATTTATAAATGAAGTATATACTTTTAAAATATGTAAGTTATACTAATTCTGTGTTTAATTTCATGTGTTTTCATCTGTTGAATATTCTATTTTATTTGCATAGAATTGGTTTTGTTTTTATTCTATTACCCTTTATATTTCCAGTTGTCAAACTTTAAATGACTGTGTCTCCATTCTAATAACACTGTTTACAGTGTGTTATAGAAAAGGAGAAGTAGGGAACAAATGTTGCTTAGGGCTGGTATCAGTGACAGAAATTTATCAGTGATTTTTGTAATATGTTTTTAGCCTTGCCTAGCTCTGTGTCACTTTCTATAATATGTAACTGTCACCGTGATGAATGGCCCTTTCATAGAAATTCCTTAAGATTCTCTGTGACTTCAACTTAATTGGTTTTTATTTAAGATTTTTAGTTGTTGCTGTGCTGTTTTGTTTTGTGTCTAAACGACCTGCTCTGGTGAGGTGAATAGGTACTCCCCCTATGCTCCCCGGCCAGATTTCAGGTGTGTCTGGTGGGCTGGCTCAAGAGTTATTTTGCTTAGAACCTTCTTTTTGCTTTTGCTTTTCTTTGTTCCTAGAAGTTTTGGGGACAGAGAAATTTTAGAAATTCTTAGTTTCTTTTAGGGAAAAAAATTGAATAAATATTTAACAGATTACTTCTTGATAAAATTTGAATAGAACTATATGAATTTATAATGCCAATTCAAAGCATTATATATACAAAATTTGCTATTTTAAATTAAAGCATTTTTACAGGATTTAATTTTAGAATGCAATCTATGCAATCCTCTAACTCTCAGTGTGATTTTCTTTGGTAGTATATGTAAGCAGGTAGATTAAGTCAAGCCTCTCCCCTTTTTCATTTCATTTCATTGTATAAAAATGGTACTTTGTGTGATTTGTACCAACAGATGGCTAATAAGTCCTAAACTGGCATTTTATAAACCTGGGATTTAAAATCTTTAAACAGTATTTAAAATCTTGATTGTTTTAAAGGTGTCAGTAGATAGAATATGATTAATTTGGAAGGTTGCATCTGTGTAGAAGTAATGCGGGTACAAAATCTAGAGTTTCTCCTTAGATTCTGCAGTCTTTTCTGAAGTAAATAATAAGTGCTCTTAAATGCTATCTTATCCTGCCAAAGTCTGAAATGTGTTCATTGATGATTTTAAATTGTATTTAGTTGGCTCACCCCTCTTTTAAAAATACTTAGCCATCCCTTAGAGGGATATTGTTGAGGCATGAAGGTCTCAGTTATTTTCTAATTTCTAACCTTTATAAACTTGGGGTCTTGTTGATGGTGGTGTTTTTTAAGTTGAATAAAAAAGACTAGCTTGATTGGAGCCTCTGCCACTTTTCTTTTTAGAGTTGCAAGTATTGTATTGTATGGTAGAGGAGGGGAAGGACCTTAAGGAGAACTGTCTAAAAAGTGACTAATCTTGATAGTGAATTAATAGTGTTCATTCAGAGTTTAAGAAAATGTGAAAATTTTGCACTTTGTCTATTACTGTAAATTTAAAGATCTTTTTGGTAGTGTTACTCTATTTACTAGAGAAAACCCTTGGTCATTTCCATTTATTGCCTTTTCTATAAGTGTGATTTGTTTTAATCTTTGGAAAAATAGTATATTAGAGTGTGTTCTAGGAAATTAAAAGATCTGGTTGGGATAAAGAGTTCTTTCTGGCCGGGCGTGGTGGCTTATGCCTGTAATCCTAGCACTCTGGGAGGCCGAGGCGGGAGGATCATTTGAGCTCAGGAGTTCGAGACCAGCCTGAGCAAGAGCAAGACCCCGTCTCTACTAAAAAGAAATAGAAAATTAGCTGGACAACTAAAATGCACGCACGCACACACACACACACACACACACACAAATTAGCCAGGCATAGTGGTGCATGCCTGTAGTCCCAACTACTCAGGAGGCTGAGGCAGGAGGATCGCTTGAGCCCAAGAGTTTGAGGTTGCTGTGAGCTAGGCTGATGCCACAGCACTCTAGCCTGGGCAACAGGGTGAGACTCTGTCTCAGAAGAAGAAAAAAAAGAGTTCTTAACAAATTTTTTCATGACTAATAAGCAAATGAGGTATTAACATGAAATTCATTTATGGATTAACTTTATCATAAATTAGATTATAGGGGGCAGCCTACATTTTTTTCTTTTTAACCACTATACTAACAACGGGGCAGCCTACATTTTTGCATATGTGTCTGTTTATTAAATGACAGTATGAGTGTGGTGACACTTTTACAGTCCTTGTGATATTAACTATTTTTCCAATTCACATACCTTTTGCTGTGAAGTGATACTAGACTATTGTTTGCATTGTGAAAATGCTTAGCTGGTGAATACCTCCTGGCACTTTGTTTTTATCTCATCACTTAATTTAAAAATCTAGCACTTGATAATATAATTGACAGAATTGATTGTACCAGCTGATGAAGTAATGAAAATGAAGAAAAGGAAAATATTCCTTCCTTCAATGACATGAGTTTATTTTGCTCTTAAGTGGCATCTATGTAAGTCAGACAAATTATATTAAAATTGGTAAATTTTGAATGTTTCTCTTGTTTTGATTCTTAGATTTTGAGGAGGATCAGACAGAATAGTAATAGGTTTCACAGTTTTAAAATTTGATAAGTCAATGTTTTGACATTTTAACATTGTGATTCAATGTTTGTAATCTCTGTGTGTATACTGTGCCGTGTTTTTCAACTTTGCCTAGGTGCCATTGTATGTAAGAAAGGACAGCTATTTTGATCTTCATCAGCATTGCCTTCAGCTGGAAATTTGGGAACAGTTCACAGTAAACCTCTCAGCAGTTTACAAACTGAATGAAGTACCTGCAGAAACCATAGCTATTCACCAAAATACACAGATTAGGTGCATGGTATCATGGAAATTATTTGGTAAAAACACACATAAATCTATGTGTATGCTATTTTAAGTAACATCTACAGGTGCAGCTTTGATTTTTGAACAGAATTCCAAATAATTTACTGTTGTACCCACCAGAACCTAGAAAATGTGAATTAAAAGTACATGTTTCTGCGATCTTTTCTGTCTTGTTTTGCCCGTCTATTTTAAGTGTTTCTTTTATGGCATGAGGATTTGGTTATAATTTGTGGAGAAGGGGAAAAATATAAGTAATCTGAGGTTCCTACTTCTTATAATCATAATGGCACACTCTGTTAGGGCTTTACATGCATCATTTGGCTTTAAATGCCTCATACCTTCATAATTGCACTAGTAGGTAGATATGATTCTCCATTTTATAAATGAGAAAACTGAAGATAAGTGAGGCTAAGCAACTTGTCTGTAGTTAGATTCTAATCTAGGTTTTAAAGCTAGAATTTGAGTCATAATGTGGTATGACTATTATATAATTTGTATAATTTCATAAGTTGGCCTATTACCACTCATCTCAAAAGCAGGGACTTTTAGCATCTTTTGATTTGTATTGAATCATAACACTGTTAAAATATGCTTATTTTATTTAGTTTTTTGAATAGTAATACATTCACATGGTTAAAAATCAAATAATATGAAGTTATTCAGTGAATGTCTTCCTTCTATCCTTGGCCCAGCTTCCTGCACTACACACACACCTCCCACAATAAATAACCTCTGTTCTTGTTTTCTTATACATCTCTATCCACACTTTTTTAGGCATATACAAACATGTACAAATGGAAAATCTTGTTTTTTCTCTTATCAAAAAACATATATATACTATTTGTTTCCCCCTCCCCCGACTTAATATTTCTTGGCAGTCTTCACATCACTGGATGGCTTTCTCATTTTTTTTAGTAGCTGCTTGGTATTTTGTTAAATGGATGTGCCATTGTTGAACTAACCAAGTCTCCTATAAATGGGCAGTTGGGTTGTTTCCAGACCTTGTATATGTCATTTCACAGGTTTTTTTTTTTGTTGTGACCTCTTTTTTATGGAATATTTCACATTTATGTAAATGTGTCTAAATTTCCAAAAATGGAATTGTGGGTTCAAAGACTATGTGCATTTGTAATTTTGAAAGATACTGGCATATTGCCCTCCATAGGGGCAGTTACCAGTTCATACATCTGAAATTTATGACAGTACCTGTTCGCCTACAACCTCACTAACATAGATATTACTAAAATGTTGGATTTTGGTCATTCTGATATATGACAATATACATCAATGTGAAAATTCTTTTATAAGTAAGGTTGACCACATTTTAATATGTTTAAGAGCCATCTGTATTTTCTTTTGTGTTTACATCTTGCCCATTTTTCTATCATATTGTTGCTATTTTTCCTATCAATTTCTAAGAGTACTTTATTTGTTAGGGATATTAACCCTTTGAATGGAATGAGCTGCAAATAGTTTTTTCCAATTTGTTATCTGTCTTTGGGTTTGCTAATGATGGTTTTGCCATTTGAGTTTTAAAAAATTTTTATGTAGTCTGATTTATCAGTTTTTTAGTGGTTTCTGGATTTTGAGTCATAGTTAAGAATGCCTTCCTCACTCCAGAGCAATAGAATAATTTGCCTATATTTTCTTATAGAATATTTATGGTTTTATTATTTTATATCTAAATATTGAACCCGTGGAGTATACTGGCATAAGATGTAAGTTATGGATCCACTGTAACTTTTTTCCCAGATGATTAACCCAGTTCTAATACCATTTATTGAACAGTTCATTTTTTTCCTCACTAGTTTGAGAAGCTACATTTATCATTTCTAAAATTTCATATATATTTAGCTCTATATCTGGGTTCTGTTTCCATTTCATTGGTCTATTTTGTCATGTACCAGTACCACCCTGTTTTCATTAGTCTTTATTTCTAATATCTGGTGCACTGGTCCTCTCTATTCCCACGTTTTTTTCTTATTACAGGTTTCGTAGCTATTTATTTTCCCATATGAGCTTTGAAAATCCTTAACATATGGAACATGCTAAAACTCTGTCCAACTCAGGTTCTCTCTCAAGAGTTGTACTTTTAAACCACTTACTGTGTCACTCTTCTTTTGATACCTTTCCTGATAAAGATAGAATACTGACATAATTAAATCATAGTACAAAGTATATTTGCCAGTCCCCAAACAGGTAAAGGCAAAATGGAGCACATAGTCCCTATGTGGACAGAATTTCATCTCAGTGCTTCTGTTTTAAGGCTTAGTCTCCAGAAATGATTTAAGGACTGTTTTCATATAAAAGCCTATTTCCTTTTTTATTCCATTATGAATTGTCCAAAAGTTGGATATCTGTCAAAGATTCATATGATAAGAGGGAAGGGCCCTTAAATGTAAAATCAACATTCAGTGAATAAAAGTGCAAGTGTAAGAAGTTACCTTAAAAAAAAAAACAAAACAAAAAACAGTATCTATCAAAAGAACAGGACTTGACTATTCATTTACTGTTCTAGGAGCGGGGAATATAGCAGAGAACAAAACAAACATTCCTGCCCTCATGTAACTTAAACATAACTAGATTATATTAGTTTACAGTGAGACTGTACCCAAAGAAATATCAACCTAAAGGGAATGGCCAAGACAGACACCTGTGGAGAAGGTGACTTCAACATGAATGACTCTTCTTGACAGTGCCATCAGATTATCATAAATTTATGCTATTAATCATTTAGAGTCATTCCCCTACCAACTTGTTGGTCAGAGCAGAGTCACATTCACCAAGCAGCATTCTGGTGTCATTTAACTTGCCCTGTGGCTTTCCTTCACAGAATCTAAATGGGTAGTTCTCCCTTTGACAGGTTTTAAATCTGCAAATCTGAAGCCCAGACTTTGGGCTAGTGATTCACCAAGGGGATAGCACAGTAAGGATACTCAGTCACACAAATTTAATGGTCCTGGTGTAAAGCATTATTTATCCTAAATGCACCCTAAGAAGGTATAGGGTAAAAGGTAACTGAAGCATAAAAATACTTTAATGTTTTCAAGAAATACCATGACTTAGGACTGCAGAGAGGCCAGAGGTTAGTGAGATTCTTGGAAAAAAAAGTCATAGCAATAGGAATCAGCAGAAAAAGGGAGGCATTCTGCGGATCTTATAGGTGGGCCACATGCGGGTGTTTTTGCCCGTTTGTTTTTTTACTTCAAGATATGTGCAGTGTGCATAGGAATTTGTTCATAGTTTTTTTTTAAAACTATAGTCCGGCCCTCCAATGATCTGAGGGACAGTGAACTGGCCCCGTTTAAAAAGTTTGAGGACCTCTGGTAAAGAGACACAAGTCACAGATCTAGCTCAAGGGAGTAAGTTTTTAAACTTACAGCCCTTGAGAAAAATTCTATTTGAGCCTGATCCTTTCCAACAGCTCCTCCATCTGGAAGTCTTAAGTAGTATTATGCACAGTTAGAAATGTTTAATAAAATTCTCATGATAAAAATAATACTAGGTGTGTCTCTGATCAGACCCATACCAGTCTATTCTTTATCATGCAGCAATCTAAAATGAAAGAGTACTTTTTAAATGTTTAGTTGGATATCTTGATAAAGTGTCAAATACTTAGACATACTTAATTCTAATGTAAGTTCATGTGTACTGTTAAAAACAAGAGTCTATGGCCGGGCGCTGTGGCTCACGCCTGTAATCCTAGCTCTTGGGAGGCCGAGGCGGGCGGATTGCTCAAGGTCAGGAGTTCAAAACCAGCCTGAGCAAGAGCGAGACCCTGTCTCTACTATAAATAGAAAGAAATTAATTGGCCAACTGATATATATATATAAAAATTAGCCGGGCATGGTGGCGCATGCCTGTAGTCCCAGCTACCCGGGAGGCTGAGGCAGAAGGATCACTCGAGCCCAGGAGTTTGAGGTTGCTGTGAGCTAGGCTGACGCCATGGCACTCACTCTAGCCTGGGCAACAAAGTGAGACTCTGTCTCAAAAAAAAAAAATAAAAACAAGAGTCTAGTAATATCCACCATATAAATGAGAACCTTTTTCTCACAGTGCTTCTCAAGGGGGTGGGGTAGGGTTAGGTGCTTTCAACTAAGTGTTGCCCAACACTACTAAAGCCAACAAAGAGCAGTTGTCTTGGGTTTTAGTGAAAGAGAAAATCTGGGGAATATTCCTAAGCAGCTAAACGTGGAAATCAGCACAGCTATTAAGAATGTTCCTGATACATTCAAGAGAGAAATAGCGTAACTAAATGTGATTGAAGTGTGTGTTGTAATAGTCAAGACTTCTGACGGCCCACAACTCTTGTAACACATTCCAGATGTTTTAATCATCAGCTCAATCAAACAGGTTAATTGTAAAAGGGAAAAAGAGCCAATGAAAGATATCCATACAAATCAGTTGGAATTCTTAGCTGCAGAGGTGGACACAGAAATTATTTCCAGAACTTACAAACATTCACATGCAGCCTTTTAGTGTTGCATCAGACTTAGAGAAATGATACAAAATTTTCAGTGATGTCTTTTCCCTATATACTCTTTCAAACTATCAAAGTTTTAACATCATTGTGTTGCTTTAAAACAAGAGGACATTTGGATATTTTAGAACAAGTAATCAACATTCCTTTTCTTCTCTTTGCATTTAGTATTCCCCATAAGCATTTTTTTTTAGTGTACCTAGCAGAACAAGTAAATTAGGAAGGTAAAGGCAATTTTAATTCTCCTTCCCTTGCCATTCCTGCAATATTTCACAGGGTATACATGATCATTTACTATGAGAGAAAGATAGTTTGATAAAAAATCAATCATAATTTTTAATATTTCTGTGTTTACAACACTCCTAAAGGTTTAGCATTACTTTTTTAAAAGGGGGAAGAAAAAATAGATACTTAGAACATTTTTATCCTTTACAACAAAAAATAGTTTAAATAAATATTAGTAACTTCACCAGAAAGTAGACTACGACTTTTATCAGTTAATGCTGAGCATTTCAATTTTTCTTCCAGTAACAATTATGTTTACATATGATTATAATCAATGATTTTAGTGATTCTTCTCATTGTATTTTTTAAAATATATCTGCCCTTAACTGATCTAATATAGAAGGAGTTTTAAGCATATGCTGAGTCAGCCTTTAAATTCTTCCAAGAATTAGTGATAAAGACAGTGTGATCCCAATAGGGTTTCTTAAAGTTATTCAGAATAACTTATATTATTTTAAGGCAATCTGAACAACAGTGCAGGGTTTGCTTCGGTGTAGAATTTTCCCTGACAAGTAACTATTTTATATGGTACGTGACCCAAATTTACCCACATACTGAAAGGCAAGACTGTTATTATGTGGGATTATGCAGGCTAAAGATATTCTATAAAAATGAAAATACCCAATCATGACCCATGTGAAACCTGAGATCCTAATTTTAAATACCACCAAAATAGAAGCAGACTTGATCTCTGTGAAATCAATGCCCAGAGAGCAATTATTCCTGAAGAAAAATGGTAAGAGTCATCTGAAATGAGTTGTATCATGTAGGCAGGACTTATTAATGTATGTTCCTTTTCATTTGCCCTTCCCTCTGTCTCGAGGTGAGATTTCCTAGGCAGAGCAGAAAGATACTTCCTTTAGAACCTTATCTCTGCTTTGTAGAAAACCGGAGCATTTGACCACCCGACAGGCAGTTTTATGGCTCCAGAATGTATATAGTGGAGGTTTTAGAATGGCACTTCTGGTCGGGGAGGTAGGATTTCATAACATGAAACTTATGACTTATAAGCAATTGTGTGGAACATGCCCTTTACATGGCTAAGAGACAGGTGTGTCATATTGCAATATTTTAAATGTGCAGTTTCCAAAAGGCTGTTTATAAAGCTATTTAAAAATAAAGGACATTATTAGGATTCCACAGTCTTAGCTCAAGGGCTTAGGACATTATTAATGCCCGCTTTAGAATCTTTTTTTCTCCTTGACTACAATGAATGTTCATCAAGTTGGGAAAGGTATAGTCTTGCTGTACTCCTGAGGTAATGGATATTAGATTTCACTGGGCTGAAAGAACTATGCAAAATCTCTGAATATAGCAGAGGAGGTTTAATAGTATAAGTCACCTACATTTTTAACATCATTAATTTGTTATCATTGAATTGTACACATTAGTGCCCTACTGAAAGGAAGTCCCAGACTTTTGGCACAACTTAGAGATTCTTTGAGGCACCATCTGGACCTTAAAACACTCTAAAGAGCCAGTTACCTCACAGTCTGTTGATATTCCTTTTCATTTTAACTTTCAACATTCGAGTTGCAATTAGCTCTCTAGATGTTAGGAGTCACCAATGTGGAGCTCAGGATCTGAGTGACCTGAAGAGGTATGGATTTGAGGAATACTTTAGTCCAAAAGCCTTAAAAAACTATTAGACCATATATTCTATACTTGTAAAGTGAATTATGCATAAATTCTGTGCAAACTGCAATATATATTGCAATAACATTCTCAAGAAAAAAACCCTAGTATACTTTAGCATTATTATTTAAGTTATATAAAATATATCTTTATAAAAGTACAGATTTTCTTTAAAAAGTTTAAATTATACCCACTGAAATAGCCAGGCTCACTTTTTAGTACTAAACTAAGAGTTTATCAAATCTAAATTATTGCTTAGTCCTATGGAGCCATTAGAAACCTGTAACAAAAAAAAAAAATCAAGTCCTATTTCTTAAGGAAAGTGCCCTAAAAATTGAGCTGTCAATAAGTTTGTCTTTCTGAAGCTTTTCAACTCAGGAAATTATCCATGAAACTGGTAACTGATGCTACCCATGGCTTGGTTTGTCAGGATCCAAAGTTGAGTCTTGTTGCAAAGTTCCCGCTTGTGCCAGGAAGCTGTTGGTTTCTTGTCCCCAATCATAGTAGTCCGGAGCAAAACTTAAAAAGAAAAAAAAATTTCAGTAACTTGAAACATTATACTATGTATGACATGTCTAGTATAAGTAGGTAGAGCTGGGATTTTATGTAAACTATAGACAATTTCAAAGTTCTTTAAAGTAGCTTCTTGAAGCTTATTTTCCCACAAAACAGTGCTATGCCCAGTGATAGAAACCTATCCACTAAACTCTACTGAAACTCTTTAAAGCCCAGAAGTATAGTATTACTAGAACCTTAAACCAGTCATTAAGTATAAGAGGTTTTATTGTTTGCTTTTTTACAGCAAATTATATCTGAATCCTAACATGGAGTATAGCTCACAACCTATATGTCTTTGGACAAATAACTTCTGTGCCTTAATTTCTTCATCTGTAGAACAGGACTGATAGCCCCTACAATAGCCCAACAATGTAGTTACTAAGTCAGTTAATACCTATAAAGGGCTTAGAACAATATCTATTAATAACATATAGTCAGTACTCAACACATGTAAGTTGTTTTCAATATTATTTTCCCTATGTAGTGGAAAGGGAGTTCTTTTCTTCCCCTATATAGGTAGACAGGACACCCTCAGCTCTAAGTCATTTCTGGCAAGTGAGGGGTTAAGGTTACTCTGGCAGAGTGTGGGTTTAAAGGGGCAAAATAATTAATAGGAAATGTAATGGAATAACTGGATAAGAGAAGACTTTTAGGGAAGAGGTGAAGCTCAGAATCTGAGTGGCCTGAAGGACAACTTTTGACCTCAAAGAGTCCTCCTTGTACCTTGGCTCACTTCCAGATTATGTTCGTTACATCTTCGGGCCCTAGGGATTGGTCCACTTTCTTCTTTCTCTCAGCCACCACCTTTTATTCTCTCCAACCAGGATGTCTCTCCTCCCTGATCCACTGAGAAAACAAGGTATTCTCACAGCTTTTCTTCACTTTTCCTGTCCCTAAAGCAAGGACTCTTTTCAGAGCCCTTTAAAGATTTTGTAATGACTTTTACAGTTAGTAATAAGGAGTAAAAAAGTATCACCCCAGAGGGGAAAAATGTTAAAATATTAATGATGAGGCTTTAATTCACTAAGGACTGCATAAGGTAAAAGTTTCCACTTCTAAGAAGCTCCCCTTTCCCACGAACAGGATGGGGGTCTCGGATTGACAAAGAGGAGAGGTATGCTTCTACATATGCTGGTTTGAATTCTTATTAATTACTTGCCCTATCCAAAATATTCTGAGCCAGATCTGCAAGTGGATATTCAAGAAAGGAGACTCTTCCTATTAAAACTCACAAGGTAGTATAACATAAGCATAGGTGAAACCAGGAGACAGGGTACTGAGATATATACAGACTCTTCACATAGAGCACAGATCTGAACAAGATTGCCTGAGTTGGAATCCCAGCCTGACCCCTTACTAGCTGTGTGACTTTGAACAAATCGCCTAAACTTCAGATGGCTGTTTCATCTGTAATATGAAGCCAACAACAGTACTGACCTCACAGAATTGTTGTGAAGACAAAATGAGTTGACACTTGTGAATCTCTTAGAACAGTATATGATACATAGTAGAGACTGTGTTTATTAAATAAATATTTGTCTAAATTAAGACCAAAGTAAATACTTTCCACTTAAATGAAATTTTCAATTAAGAATTCACATCATTCAAATTTGAAAATTTGGCCCTTATAAGGTATAATGTATTCTAATAAATGAATATTATTCAATTTACGTTCTGGCTTTTGAACGCGTGATTAAAGACATCTGCCTGGGTATCCCAAATCATGTTCCACTGAGTGATTCCATGGTCAAGGGCTGTATTTCCCTCTTGCAGCTTCAGAGTGCACATTAGTATATTATAGGCTGTAAGAAACCCTGTAATTTTTTAAAAAGTTGATTTTCTTTTTAAACCATCATTTCCATTTGCACAGCATAGCTATTAAGGGAATTGCGTTCCATGAAATATTGTTTAGGAAACATTACTGTACATGATAATGCTATGAGGCTTTTAAAGTTTTGATGTCAGCCCTTTCTCAGTCCTGAATGTTTCATATAAGTAAAATGATCTGCTACTACTGCTACCCAGTCCTACACTGCCTCCAACTGCATGGTTTCCTTTTAGTTTGAATTCATTTCATTGGTGCAGCCCTTCCCTCCTAATGAGGCCTCTCTGACATAAACTAAGGTCTTACCTTCCCTGAAGTCCTTGAGGGGCAATATTCCAGGCAAGGTCGTCATCACTGTCATATCTTCGAGGGTTGTCAAAGAAATAAGATCTGGGACTGAATCCATGGCTGGGAACCATTCCAGGGTTGGTCTAGAAAGACAAGTAATCATTCAGCATACTTCCAGACACTGTGCCTCGCACTAGACATAGATAAACAAGATCTCTTTCTTGCCAGGTGTGGTGGCTCATGCCTATAATCCCAGCAACTCAAAAGGCAGAGGCGGGAGGATTGCTTGTTTGAGGCCAGGAGTTTGAAACCAGCCTAGGTAATAGGTAACACAGAGAGATCCCATCTCTTCAAAAAATACTAAGAAAAAATGAGTCAGATGTGGTGGCACACGCCTTTAGTCCCAGCTATTTGGGAGGCTGAGGCAGGAGGATCACTTGACCCCAGGAATTCACTGCTGCAGTGAGCTATGTTCACACCACTGCACTCTAGCCTGGTAAACACAGTGAAGTCCTGTCTCTTTAAAAAACAAAGCAAAAAATTCTTTCTTGCAGAAGACTGGAAATGTTCAACTCATCTGAACAAAGGCTGTACCTGTTCAGCTAGCTGGAGTGTTCACTTTGGTTGTTTTTATGTTTAGGAGGGATTAACTTTTCCTTTTATCAGTATGGACAAAATCTTCTATCAGAGTCTTGCATGCAACAATGAATCCTCATTGATTCAATCCCTTATTGAAAAACTAGCTAAATTTGGCTTTAAAAAAAAAAAAAAGAAAGAAAAACTAAACAATGCCCAGATTAGCCAGACTAAAGTAGGCAGACCAATTTGGATATAAATCTGTATAATCATGTGAGCTATTCCTAATAAAATAAGAAGCATTAATGATGAAATCATTTGGGGAAGATTTCTCATCCCATTTCCATATCCTACCTCTATAAATCATTTCATCCTGTTTCTATCCCAAAGCTGAGTTCACCTCAAAAAATTTCAAATGACTGGCCTCAAGTAGATCCTAGAGGTTACTGCCAATTTTTAAGATCATATTTGCCCTGGGGCAACTGTTGTGATTTGAAAAGCCGCCTCTACCAGCACCTTCTAAAAAAGTAAAGTCCTCTTTGTCAGGAAAGATTTCAGATAAAGAGACTAGATTATATGGCAGACTAAATCTGGCATACAGTTTGAAATCTTTATGTATACTGTTAGTAGACTACTTAAAAGTTAATAGAGTATGAAATGAAGTGGTCACATGATGGATATATTTGTGAATTCCTGCCTTTCTAAGACTAATCTAGCCATAAGGAGCAAAGTGGAGTTTATACAAGTTGCGATGTCTTAAAATTTACTATTTTTAACAGTTCAAGAATGTTGATGAGCTCCATGCAAAAGAATTAAGTTGGACCTTTATCTCATACCATATACAAAAAATAAAATGGATCAAAGACCTAAATATAAGAGCAAAAACTATAATATTCTTAGAAGAAAATATAGGGGTAAGTTTTCAGGGGTAAATGCAGATGCTCCATGACTTACAATGTGGTTACATCCTGAGAAACTCACATTGTAAGTTGAAAATGCATACTTTTGAGCTACAGTTCCCAACTCCCCCATTCCCCCCTGCCAGGCATTGGACTGGTACTGGTCCCTGTGGCCTGTTAAGGACCTGGTCAAAGAGCTCTCTGTCCCCCACCCCTCTGTCTGTGGAAAAGGTGTCTTCCATGAAAGTTAGGAGTGGGGCAGGACACAAAGCAGGTGGTGAGTGGCAGGCAGGGAGTGTATTTACAGCACCTGAGCTCTGCCTCCCCTCCCCCATCCATGGAAAAATTGTCTTCCATGAAACCCGTCCCTGGTGCCAAAAGGTTGGGGACTGCTGCTTTAGAGGTTCAGTTGTTTACCCCTGTGATGCATGGCTGACTGGGAGCTGTGGCTCACCGCCCATGCATCTCCAGGGAGTATCACACCCCGTATCACTAGCTTGGGGAAAGATAAAAATTAAAAATTTGATGTTCAGATTCTGCTGTCTTGCTTTCACACCATGGTAAAGTTGAAAAATCCTAAGTCAAACCATTGTAAGTTGGGGACTATCTGTGTAGGTTTTGGCAAAGGATTCTTAGATGTGATACCAAAGGCATGAGCAACAAAAGGTAAGATGAACTTCATCAAAATTAAAAACTTCTGTGCCTCAAAGGATACCATCAAGAAAGTGGAAAGACAGCCTACAGAATGAGAAAAAAAGATTTGCAATTATATACCTGACGAAGGACTTATCGTATATCTAAAATATTAATATATAAAGAATTCCTATAACTCAATAAAAAGATAAATAACCCAATTTAAAAATGGGCAAAGGATATGAACAGACATTTCTCCAAATATGTACAAATGGCCAATAAGCACGCAAAAAGATGCCCAGCATCCTTAGTCATTAGAGAAATCCCAATCAGAAGCCAAAATGAAATATCATTTAATACCAATTAGGATATCTAGAGTCAAAAAGGGAGATAATAACATGTGCTGGGGAGGATGTGGAAGAATCAGAACCTTCATGCAATGTTGGTGGGAATGCAAAGTGGTACAGCCTCTGGAATACAGTCTGGCAGTTTTTTAAAAAATTAAATATAGAATTACTACATAACTAGCAATTCCACTCCTAGCTGTATACCCAAGAGAAATGAAAGCATATGTTCACATAGCAACTTGCACACAAATGTTTATAGTCGCCTTATTCATAACTAAAAGGTGGAAATACCCCACCTTGTGGGTCATCAAGAAACTTGAGATGATAAAAGGGATACATTTAAGAAAAACCTAAAATTTGTAAAAACTCAGTGATGTCCATCAATGGATGAAGGAATAAGCAAAATGTGGATATTTGGCCATAAAAGGGTATGAAGTACTATCACATGTTAACAACATGGGTGAACCCTGAAATCATACTAAGTCAAAGAAGCCAGTCACAAAACCACATACTAGCTGATTGTATTGTAGAATAGGGAAATCTAGGCCCAGGGGTGAACCTGGGGCAGAAAGGGAATGGGGAATGATAGATAAGGGTATGGGGTTTCTTTCTGAGATGATGAAAATGCTCTAAAAGTGGCTGTGGTGATGGTTTCACATACCTGAATATACCAAAAACCACTGAATTACACATAAGGACTGGGCGCATTATACGGTATATGAATTATATCTCAATGAAGTTGTTTAAGAAAAAGAATATGATACCAACAGAGATCCTCAAACTTTACAGCACACACAACTTACTTAGAGTGCTTATTAAAAATGTGGGCTCCCAGAACCTGTGCCAGAGATCCTGATCTGGGTCTCCGTGGTGACCTAAGAATCTACACTTGCACCAAGCGCCCGTGGAACTCTGCTACAGATGGAGAAGAGACATCCTGAGTACACTGTTACACAGGCTCTGACGCCTGGCTCCAATGAGGCCACGTTTAGAGACTTCTTGTACCAAATGAATTCTGGATACAAATGGTAGATAACATTTAAAGAAATGTTTAACACCTGCAGTGTGCTCTTTTAAAATAGGTAAGTATAAATTAAATTATATATTTCCCCCAAAAGAGTATTAGACTGTTTTTTCTCTATGTAATTACAGAAATTATACAGATAGTAACAAGATTATTAAATCATCTGTATTAGGAATTCAGTTTCCTCTCAAAACCTTATGATGCTAGGGAAAGACACGGTGTGGCACAGTGATTAAAATCATGGACTCTGGAGTCAGACTGCTTGGTTTGAAGCCTGGCTTTGTCTCCCGCCAGCCATGTGACCTTGAGCCTCCATTTCCTCATCTAAGAAAAGAGTACAATAACAGTTTCTACCTTATAGGTTCATTTGTGGATTAAAGAGTGGGAAAAAAAAAAATATATATATATAGTTAGTTGAGTCAGAGTCTCACTCTGTTGCCCGGGCTAGAGTGCCATGGCATCAACCTAGCTCACAGCAACCTCAAATTCCTGGGCTCAAGCGATCCTACTGCCTCAGCCTCCCATGTAGCTGGAACTACAGGCATGTGCCACACCATGCCTGGCTAATATTTTTTTGTATATATATATTTTAGTTGGCCAATTAATTTCTTTTTATTTTTTAGTAGAGACGGGGTCTTGCTCTTGCTCAGGCTGGTTTTGAACTCCTGACCTTGAGCAATCCTCCCACCTTGGCCTCCCAGAGTGCCAGGATTACAGGTGTGAGCCACCTTGGCCGGCCTAAAGAATTTATCTAAAGTGTTTAGAACAATGCCTAGCATATGTAAGTGCTATATAATTGTTAGCTATGTTTACCAAATTCTGTATGTAACCATGGCATTAACTCTCGTAGTCTTGGCTAAGGATATTTTATGAATACCAGTGCATCAAGCCAAATTTGTCAACTCAAATTACCTGCTAATGAGTTACTTCATGAGAACACAAAAATGAAAAAAATGTTTTTTCTATTTATAATTATGCATCCTTCATATTGAATATACACCATCATGATAAATTAGGAGATAATGTCATTTAGGGCAAAAGAATCATTTTAATTCACTAATATGTTACTGTAGATGAGCAGTTATCAATGTGGTCAACTGGGCCCTTGGAGGTCCCTGCAATCCTTTCAGGTCATAACTTTTCATAATTAGTATATTAAGCTGTTATTTGCTTTTTTTTATGGTGTCAACATTTGCAGGAATGGTGCAAAAGCAATGGGGAGTAAAAGTGCTGCTTAGCACATACGTATGGAAGCAGGGCCACCAGCTGCACCAGCAGTTACCATGTTGCTCACCTCCACATACTCACACTTTAAAAAAAAAGTTTCACTTAAGAATATGCTGGCTGACGTTTGGGGGATGGACACGCTTGAAGCTCTTGGGGGGGGGGAGAGGGCAATATATGTAACCTTAACACTTGTACCCCCATAATACGCTAAAATAAAAATTTTTAAAAAAAGAATATGCTTGCTAAAGTAGTAAAAATTATTAATTTTATGAAGTCTCAATCCTTGAGCAAATCTTTTTAATATTCTGTGTCACAAAATGGGAAGTGTGCATAAGTCACTTCTGCTACAGGATGGTGGTTGTCTTGAGGAAAAGACCTTCTACAACTGCTCAAGTTTTAGCTACTTTTTTCATGCAACTTCATTTTTAGTTGACAAACAACTCAGACTAACCAAGGTTATTCAGGCTTGGGTATTTGGCAGACATTGTCTCGAAAGTGAATGAAGTGAGCTGTCATTTCAAGGAAAGCAACTGGCAGTATTTGTCATCACAACAGAATTTGAGCTTTGACAAAAAATTAAAGATTTGGAAAACTTGTATTCTCTACCTTGACAGCTTCCCAATAATTAAAGACTTTTCTGAGATCAGTGGTGATATTAATGAATGGGGATTTTTTTTTGGTTTTACATAACGAAAACTGTTAACATTTGGAATATCTACAGAACTTAGTAAACCAGTATTTTCCAAATGACCAGTGCAATGATATTCCAAAACAATGCAAGGGTAAAAAATCCAAAATGCAGGATAAACCAATGGATTTTAACATAGCAAACAATCTGCAAAGTTCATTGATATGGTGTTAGATTCCATATCGCAACTAACTTTTAAGCCACACTTGTTGAGTTTGACTATAGTGTCAAAGAAGAGTATTTGCAAATACGTTAAAAGGCTATTAAAATACTCCTATTTTTTGCAACTATATGAAGAAAATCAAGTCTCACAGAGATACAATTCATGATATCCACAACAACATTCACAACAAATTGAATGCAGAAGCAGACGTGAGAATCCAGCTCTTTTCTCTTAGGCCAAACATTAAAAAGATTTACAAAATTTTAAAACGTTACTCTTCTTAGTTAGTTTGCTTTAGAAAATATAGTGATTTTTCCTAAAAATTTTTATTCTAATATACAGTGAGTTTACTATTTTTTTCTTTTTATTTATTTATTTTTATTTTTTTTATTTCGGCATATTATGGGGGTACAAATTTTAAGGTTTCAATAAATGCCCCCCCCAAGTCTGAGGAGTTTAATATTTTTTAAATTTCTGTTTTAACTTCTAATGTGATACTATACCCACACATCCTCCAAACAAAAGCTTTCTGGGGTAGGTCCTCAATAATTTAAGAGTGTTGTGAAGTGTTCTAAGACCAGAAACTTTGAGAACCACTGCTCTCAGTAACACCCTAAACAGTAGATACTTTTGAACACAATACCCTGCATACTAAGAGTGCATTCAGAATGACGTGTTTCCCTGGATAATGAGATATGAGTGTACAGATTAGACTATCCGTATTCTATATTTAATAAAATAGTACTTTGAGCAACCTCACGTTAGCCTTTCACCCCTTAGGATTCAGATATATTAATAAAATCTCTCCTTCAGACTGCCTTGGTCTAGGGCATGTAGTTTCTAAGAGCACTGGAATAACGAAACACTAGATAATGAAAACCAGGAAGTGGTAACAACAACAACGAAAAGTACATGGAGAATCCAGGTGAAGTCTCAGCAAACACTGAGAGTTTTGCTTAGGAGACTCCTCACCTTTCTATTGTTCAAACAGCATTCCCAGATAACTTGTCATCTTCAGAGAAGGAAGAACAACAGGGCAACAGGCGTCAACCTAGAATCTGCTGCCTACTTTTCAAAAATTTCTTTGCCCAGGAGGAGGAGGTATTTAGGCCCTGACTTTACAGAAGCCTCCGATAAAAGCAAAGGTCAGATAAAGTGCAGACCCACCATAAATCCTGCTATGTAGAGAACCTGCTAGATTTCATCCTGGCTGCAGCCTGAGCCACTGCTATTCGAGGGCCCACTGGTCAGACTGTGCTTTACCCCTCCTCCCAACCCTGCTTCATTTTTTCCACGCCTGGCTCATTAGTGACTATCCAGAGATAATTAAGAAAAAACAAAACACAATTCAGTTATTGTCTGGGTATGAAATAACAACTGTGAATTATTTGTGGAAGTCACTTGCCTATGCTTTCCTTACCACCTAACTCTTTGCTCACATTGCCTCAAATCTACTTGCAATACTTTTTTCTGGGTTTCGTAGATCGGCAAATCAAAAATCTACCGCTGGTTTGTGTGGCTGGAATAATTTATGATGCAGGGCTCCTAGGAGCTTTCTCACTCCACCCGGCTTTGCATTTTCTGTCCTCCCCCATAAAGACATTTATATAAGGTTGGTTGAACAGAAATGTGACCAAACTGGGGGAGTGGCTTTAGCATTCTTCACAGTGATGTTTTTATTTCCTTATCCTTCCATTCCCTAATCACCATCTGGCATACTACAGAGATGAAAAACTGAATTATCACTCTCTGTTTTCCTTTGCTAAAAGAAAAGCTTACACATTGGGTTCACAGCAAGTCAAGAATCAAATACAAGCAAGGCTGTATTGCATTAAGCCAGGCGTCCTCAAACTATGGCCTGCGGGCCACAGGCGGGTGTTTTTGCCCGTTTGTTTTTCTACTTCAAAATAAGATATATGCAGTGTGCATAGGAATTTGTTCATAGTTTTTTTTTTTAAACTGTAGTCCAGCCCTCCAACGGTCTGAGGGACAGTGAACTGGCCCCCTGTTTAAAAAGTTTGAGGACCCTTGCATTAAGCAGTTAATCATGTTCCCCAGGCCCCGAGATGCAACTTACCTTCATTTCTTTGTAAAATAAAGCTAAACTGGAAAAACACATTCTCCCTCAAAAGAGAATTACGGGGAAGTCTCAATGAAAGAGCCAAGGGATCTTTTTATATCACTTTTACGTGTGGAAGAGGCTTTCTCCTCCCTTGAAAAGCTAAGAAAAAGTTCTAAAGTTGCAGGTTTCATGATCAGAATTAGGAGATACTTTCTGAAAATATAAAATGGTTTACTTACGAGGTCCTTTGCGGGGTTTCTAACTCGGAAGAAGTACACTACTAAGGTGGTAGGTAAGAGTTCCCAAACAAAAAGCACCACTCCAAACAGCACGTAGCCGGCATCCCCCAGCTGATTCTTCAAGTCTGCCTGTGAGAGGGAGAGAGGGAGTCACTATGCCGAGAGCAGAGGAAAGAAATCTGATAGATTCTTTCTAGCGTGAACAGAAAATAATCCCAATACTACAGTATAATTCCTTTCCCCTGAAATGTGCATACTGAAGTCAGATAATAGTGACAGTCCAAACCTGGGGGTGGGGAGGGGGCTACTTAAAACATAAGGGGGAGATGATTATCTTCAAAGTATTCAAAGACAGAAACTCCCAATCTCTGCTGTTTTAAAACTTCATCCTTCAAAACTGTTCCTTATGTCCAAATGAACTCTCACTTAAATCTAAGCTGATCGTAAACAATCGAACAAGGAGAACGTCATGTTGCTACCTTCTAAACTCTTGAGAGCAGCGTGCAACTTTTACCCCCTTAGTCCCATCTCTAGGATAAACATGTCAGTTTTCAAACTTTTCTTCACACAAACCGTTATCCTGCTCTTTATCCTTTAAAGCTTTTTGCAGGCTAGCTTGTCTAGAAAAAAAATCCCCCGAGTCTGGCTTCTGGCCCAGGGAGATGGCCGAACGGGCCCAGTGAGGCGGTGTTTGCCCTCTCCCTTCAGAAGAGGTAAGAGGTATGCAAGGGGAGTGCACAGTGGAGTTTGGACAGCCCTATCAGAAAGGCCAGCATTTCAAAGAAAGATGATGCACCAAAATCGATTGGCGCCATAAAGGGGCCCCATAAAGGGGCCAATTACCTAAATTTAATCCTTTTGCCTTCTCTATTAGAACATATTTAAAGTAAAGTAACCAAAACTACTCATGCTACTCTTCAGAAAGATTACTGTCAACCTTTGCATCTCCCATTTCATCTATATTACTGTGTGTCTCAGTAGTATGTTCTTTTTCCACTGTGCACAAATAATGTGTGCAACTTTTAGCATTTCTTTTGCTTGTTCCAAAATCATTTTAAAGGCAATGCACAGCTCTAGATGGCCATAAATAAATATCCCCTAAAAACAAAAGAATTTAAAAACCATGATCATATTTTAAATCCATTGTAAGTTCTTAATCGAAAGAAAAATTGAAATAATTATTTTGTTAAAACCAAATCTTTGTCGTCTAATGAACACATTAAACAAACGGGTGTTTCCGTGTCAGAAGGTGAAAAAGTTCTAGATGGTCGTCATGGTTGCACGAACATGTGACTGCATTTAATGCCACTGAACTATACAATTAAAGATGGTTAAAATAGTGTTATATATGTTTTACTACAATAAAAACTCAAATCTTTGTGTATTATGAGTAGGTCTCCAATGGATCATTGTTTTAAAGTTTAGATTTTTATGTATTTGATTTTCTCAAAACATGGCACACCCTTAGCAGTGCCTTGCCCCAACTTTCCCCCATCCTATATGTGGGGTATTGGTTTGGGTTGGGGATTGCTGTTATTGTTGCTATTCTATCCTTTCTAATCATAACACCTTACCTGTGCCTCTTGTGAATGTCACCCTGACCTCACAGGTTTAGCTATCACGGTCATTTTAGTCTTTTTTTCCACAGTCTTAATTCAGCTCAGGTTTTGAGCACTGTTGAGATTTTAGAAGTGGATTTATTTGTAGTTATTGAATATTTTTCCATGAAAATACGGAAGCTTTTGCAAGTCAATCCAATAGGGATCCGATCCTATTAGAGAAGTTGTGTTTCTTTACTTCAATGGCTTGTCTGGATGTCACTTTTCTGCGGTGGACAGTAAACTCCCACTGGGCAGGGGACAAATCTGTTCATTTTTGTATCCGAAGCACTTTGCACAGTGCCTGAGACAAAAAACCCGATATTTGTCAAATGAGCAAATGCTAGCTTATTCTCCTTTTTTATTTTGAGCTTTTGTGAGCATGACATTTCACTACCCTGGTTTATTTGCTTTATAATCCATGCATTTATATAGTGTATTTTTTTTTTTTTTGAGACAGAGTCTTGCTTTGTTGCCCAGGCTAGAGTGAGTGCCGTGGTGTCAGCCTAGCTCACAGCAACCTCAAACTCCTGGGCTCAAGCAATCCTCCTGCCTCAGCCTCCCGAATAGCTGGGACTACAGGCACGCACCACCATGCCCGGCTAATTTTATATATATATATTAGTTGTCCAATTAATTTCTTTCTATTTTTATAGTAGAGACGGGGTCTCGCTCAGGCTGGTTTTGAACTCCTGACCTTGAGCAATCCGCCCGCCTCGGCCTCCCAGAGTGCTAGGATTACAAGCGTGAGCCACCACGCCCGGCCTTATATAGTGTATTTTTAAAAAATAAAGAGTACCAAAGAGTACTGTATTGAGGCCACTGGTACAATGAGCTTTTACTAAAACTGTAATAGTCTTAAGTCACTTTTGTCTGTATTTTCTCAAATGCTGTGTACATGCTCCATAAAAAACAAACAAACAGGCCGGGCGTGGTGGCTCACGCCTATAATCCTAGCACTTTGGGAGGCCGAGGCGGGCGGATTGCTCAAGGTCAGGAGTTCGAAACCAGCCTGAGCGAGACCCCCGTCTCTACTATAAATAGATGTAAATTAATTGACCAACTAAAATATATATATACAAAAAATTAGCCGGGCATGGTGGCGCATGCCTGTAGTCCCAGCTACTTGGGAGGCTGAGGCAGTAAGATCGCTGAGCCCCGGAGATTGAGGTTGCTGTGAGCTAGGCTGACGTCACGGCACTCACTCTAGCCTGGGCAACAGAGTGAGACTCTGTCTCAAAAAAAAAAACAAACAAAAACTCCATGCGCAGAGGCTCACACCTATAATCCTAGCACTCTGGGAGGCTGCAGCAGGTGGAAAGTTCAAGGTCAGGAGTTCGAAAACAGCCTGAGTAAGAGCGAGACCCTGTCTCTACTAAAAATAGAAACAAATTAATTGGCCAACTAAAAATATATAGAAAAAAAATTAGCCGGGCATGGTGGCACATGCCTGTAAGTCCCAGCTACTTGGGAGGCTGAGGCAGGAGGATTGCTTGAGCCCAGGAGTTTGAGGTTGCTGTGAGCACTCTAGCCTGGGAACAGAGTGAGACTGTCTCAAAAAAAAAAAAAAAAACCAGCAACAATGAAAAAACTCTGATCACTTCATAGTTCTATATTTTCTGAAACCTAAATACAATTTGGCTAACCTTTGCAAATTTCACTCTTTAATCACACTATCTTACATTTATATGCAAGCACTTTAAAAAAAAATTTAAGTGCTGCTTCAAAAGAGCCCCAAGAGGTGGAAAGAAGCGCAAATGTGTACATATGCGTATGTGTGTGTACACACGCATGTAATCTCCCAGTTTTTTTAAAAAGAGCAATATGACAAGTAAAACATAACACAAATAAAAAATGCCATATAACAACTATGTATATAGCATTCATGTTGTATTAGGTATTATAAATAATCTAGAGATGAGTTAAAGTATATGGGAGAATGTGCATAGGTTATATGCAAATACTGCACCATTTTATATCAAAGGCTTGAGCACCTGCAGATTCTGGTGTCCCCGGGGGTCCTGGAACCAATGCCTGGAGGACACTGAGGGACAACTGTAGTCCCTGTTCTGGTAACACCCCCCAGCGCCCCGACTGACCTGGTCTGACACATTGTACCAGTCGTAATCAAAGGAATGGACGTTCTTGTTCTGAGAGAATGATAAGATGAACAGGTTGTAGCAGGCACGAGAGGTGTAAAGCAGTATCACGGTGACACCGATGGCGGTCACTTGACACACGGAGGAGCCCTGGAAAAGAGGGAGCGAGAAGGGTGGCCACTCCAGGTGCAGGACAGCAGCCCCTTCCCCGGACCCCACCTGGTGTGGGCCCAGTAAGCCCTTGGGGATCCCAGAGGCTCTGCAGTCTCATCGGGTCTCCTGAGAGAGCCTCCGCCCTTGGGCCTCGAACCCCACTCCGAACCTCACCTCATCCACACTCCTTCCTAAAACCTCAAATCATCTTCACATAGACCCCAGAACTTGGTTTAGAGATGCCTTTAACAAAGGGTTAAAGTACGGGCCATTTGCCCAAGGGCCTGGATTGTAAGTGCAAGAAAGCCAGATGGATTATTTTGTTAAGCCTCTAACTGCCCCTGCTCAGCTCCCAGGGGGTCCTCTCAGGTCAGGGGGACAAGTAAACAATCTCAGAGGGACAGTGCTGTGGCAGTGAGTACTTCCTCAAAACCCAGAGTCTTTGTGGCTGAGAATACAGGAGGCCTCGTGTGACAGTGGGCTTGGAATCACCCGGCAGTCGGAGGTTTATGCCCTGCTTTATGAAGCTACCAATTTCCAAAGTCAGTTAAAAGACCCCTAGCTTGAAACAATAAACATGACCAAAAATCTCAAATGGATTTTTGAGTTTTGCTTTTGGAAGTCAGTCATTATTAACTAAACCCAACATAGTATTCTATTTTGCCAGTAGTGCTTTGCTAGCTTGTGTATATAACACTGGGGTGAGCTCGATGGTATTTGGACAATCTATGATTTAACCCCCTCCTGTTAAAAACTGCAGTTTTGTTGCTAAAGGCGTTGAATATCCCCTGTATGGGAGACAACAAAACAGAGAAAGCTGGGGCAAAAGCAAGTCTAAAATTCACCAAAATTTATAAACAAACAAACAAAAAACCTATTCTGCTGCACTAACTTTAGAGAGTTCCAAGAGTCTGGCTAACTCACAGGATGCCCTTGATGGTGGCTTTGTATTTTTGAAGTTAAAGGACCAGAAGTTAATTCCTGATACTACTAGAGACACAATATTGAGGGAGACAGAGCTGCCCCCAGTCTTCAGACCGAAGATTTATTATGGCCAGATGGGCCTCCTGACAAAGAAGGCGGCCACGGAGCTGTGTCACAGGCTGAATTCTGGAAGCGGAGGAGCTGGAGAAATCACTCGACCACTTCGCAAGTGAGAGAACCAAGGCCAGAGAGGCGAAGCGTCTAAGGGGTCGGGGTCCCCAGCCCGAGAGCTGGGCAGTTGCTCCCCGGCCCCACTGTCCATGTGGCTTCTGGGCGCAGGTTCAGAATCTGTCAATTAAGGGAAAATCAGGGACTAGGGCCAATCAGAAGCACATTGGTCCCTTGGCATTATTTGCCTGGTAACTCTTCTTTATAACTCTGGGGAAAGGGAGGGAGAAATGGAGATTCTAGGTGGCCAGGCACAGAGTGAAGGGGAAGGAAGGGCCAGAGGCTCCCATCCCGCATCCTGTCTGGCTCTGTCTCCGGACGATCACCAGGAGGGGAGTGTTGTCCTGAACTCCAGCAGCGGTGCCTGCTGCTAGGGAGACGCCGCTCGTGGGCACAGCCAGTCCGGGCACCAGCCTGGATCGGCCTCCGAAGCAGCACGACTAGCCGGTGAAGACCAGAGACCCCAGCGCCAGACTGCTGGGTGTGAACCTCAGCTTCTCACCTACTAGCTGTGTGACGTGGGGAGAGCTACTTGACTTCTTTGTGCCTCAGTTTCCTTATCTGTAAAGTGGGGATTAAAATACTACCTACTGCCAGAGAGCTGTGGGGATCACATTGGTTTATATGCATAAACTAGTCAAGTGCTTATACAAGTGCCTGGGGCCAGGTGTGGGGGCTCGCTCTTGTAACCTTTGCATTTTGGGAGGCCAAGGGGGAGAATCACTTGAGGCCAGGAGTTCAAGACCAGCCTGGGGCAACATAGCAAGACCCCGTCTCTACAAAAAATTAAAACATTAGCAGGGCATGGTGGCACATGCGTGGACTCCCAGCTACTCAGGAGGCTGAGGCAGGAGGACCACTTGAGCCCAGGAGTTCAAGGTTGCCGTGAGCTATGATCACAGCCATTGTGCTCTAGTCTAAGTGACAGAGAGAGACCCTGTCTCCAAAAAAAAAAAAAATGCATCTGGAACACAGTCCACACTAGATATGAGTTTGCTATTATTGTTATTAGAACAATCAATGCCACTCATTCTGTAAAATGTAGGTTAAATCATTGTATCTATAAACCAGAGACTCAACTCTCTGCCAGGCCTGTTGCATAACCAACGCACTTTAAGCCATCAGGAATGGAACTATCTCGTACACAAAGTTCAGTGTACCACATTCCACCGTGCTGTGGCCACCACAGCACGGCTAATCATTGGCAGCAGGTCAGGTGCAAAGGAGCCTGGCCGAGTCCTGTTTGCCAACCAGGAAACTACTGTTCGAACAAGTTTCCCGGAAGAGGTCTCCACCACACTTCTGCCCTACCTTAGACTCCAAGTAGATGTTGGCCAAGGACATCTTGGAGATTTTGTAGAGACAGATGGAGAGAGAGACGGCGCACAGCACGAAGAGCGTGTCGTTTATGGCCACTCGCACGGAGACGATGACTTTCCTCTCCCAATTCCCCGTCTTCACCAGCACGGCACAGGTTAAATTCACCAACAGGAAAACGAGGCTGATGAAGAGCGAGGCCAGGTAGAGGGGCAACCTGGAAAGTACCAGAGAGAGAGAGAGAGAGACGTCAGGCGCCGTTCCCTGCACTTCCCCGTCAAGCCAGGAGGACGCCGAGGCAGGTTCTGGTGAACCGCCAGAGCAGACACACACCAAAGCCAACAAGATTTAAGAGCCTGGACTGTGGCATTAGACGTTCCTGGATTTGAATCACAAACTGACCACAAATCGTGCCTGTGGAAGGTCCTTTCTCTCTGTGACCCCCACTTTCGTGGTCTGTGGGAGGTTGTAAGGACCGAGAACTCGCACGTGTTGGCTGGCGCGAGCACCCCGTGGATGCCACCTGCTCACAGGGACACGCTGGAGGGCAGCACGCCAGCCCCGAGCCAGGGTCACACGAGCGTCTCACAGTCCTGCACCGTTAAGAGTGTGACTGGGGCAACGTGCAGCCCAAACTAAGACAGAGAGTCTTAGTTTCATCACCTGGAAATAAGACTAAACAACAATGCCTACCTTGCAGGTTGCTGGTGAGCTACTCCATTTGCACAGTGAGATAATGTGTGTGTCTAGTGTGTTTTATCCCCCCAAATCATTACTGGAGTCCCGGGGCATTCACCACTGGGTGAGGTTGTCACTGTGATTAAAAACCTGCTGCAGCGACTGCCCACGACTGAGCAGGTAACAAACTGTCCACCTCACCGGCCACTTTCAAACCTCAGTTTCCCAGAGCTACACGCTTCCTAAGCGACCTGTGTAAAGGCCGTATATAAAGCTGTCTCAGATCTATTAACACTGAAACGGACAGTTTCTCTTCATGACAGTCCATATTATATGTACTTTAGGTAGATGCCGTTCAGCAGACGTGCAAATAAGGACCGGCCTTGTCTGGCTCCAAAACAGACTGGTTTAATTTGAATATGTTGGCAGTTAAAGTCTGGGAGCAGAAAACCATCAAGCAGAAATTGTTTTAAAACTAGACAGCGATGGTGTCTTCAAAAACCACTGTGGACTGGGATGCGGGAAACCTGGATTCCAGCCCCAACTTGACATGCCACTGATGACGGGGTTAGATGGGAAGGGGGGAGGAGATTGGGAAGGGCGAGAAAGAAAGGCAAGCAAAGGTCACTGTCCCTCTGCAGCTGCGTTTCCTGCCCGCAGATGCCAGCATGACATAACCCTCTGCTTACTCAAGCTAACTGGGATGGGATTTTGTGCCTTGTAATTAATAATTTACCGTCCACTGGCAAAGTCTCTCGTGCCCACATCCATTTTCAGAGCCCACATCCTACCAAAGGAACTTTCCCTACCTGGCTGCTGCTTGCCCTCCAAATAGCACCGCTGCAAAGAAGGCTTTGCTGCATACACACACACACACGCGCACACACAAACACACACAACACACGCACACACGCTTCTCCGGCATCTGCATTCCTGGTTCCCTGTACGTTCACCTCGCAGACTTATCACAGTCTAGGTGGGCGACGGCCGCGGCCCCTCTCTCCGTGCTGCAGGGCAGGGGCTCCGAGAACAGGTTTGAAGGGGGAGAGAAGGAAGAAGGAAAGAGTCAGTCCAAGAAGCGCTGCCTTAGACACTGGAGCAAGGACTGCCCTTTCATTTCCTATAACTGCTGTGTCTCGGCAGCTGCTAGACCTTCCCCCCGCTGGAGGGGACACGACCTGAGCTGGAGGGACGACGCTGTTCCAGGAGAGGCGGAGGTCTGCAGGCTCCTCCCTGCACGGCCGGGCCGGGGCTGCTGCGCGTCAGCCCGTGCGGAGAACGAGGTGAAGCCGGCACAGCCCAGGCCCCCAGCGGCGCAGGGTGGCAGGAAAGGTGGCACAGACCGAACGTGTGCTCCTGGGAGGGACACGGCGCAAGAGGGGCAGTGAGGTCTGGGGGATTTGACATCAGGTATCACCACGCACGCAAAGCTTTTCCAGCAGAAACAAGTTCCTTCTGGGAGAACATTCATGATTTGCCAAGGACAGGCTCTTCTCTGGGACATGGTCACCGGTCAAGTCCCTTCACACCCACCTCCCGCCTTCCCTGTGTTGCGGGCCCTGCCGTTCCCTCTGCACCTCCGACAGCTCCAGACCGGACCTCGGGGACACCCAACCAGACCGCGGGGATGCGAGGCCGGACCTCGGGGACACGAGACCAGACCGGGGGGACACTCGACTGGACCAGACCGCGGGGACACCCGACCAGCCTTCCTATGTGTCCCCGACCCCCAACCCCCAACCCCATGCTCGACAGCCCTGCCCTATCCTTTGATTCGAAGACACGTTCTACCCTTCACATTTCATGTCTCCATGGTCAGGGTCATCTTGCAACATGGAACAACGTGGCGCACGTGCGGCAGGAGTCTGTTCTCTCCCTGAAACCTGCCTGAAGCCCACGGCGTGCTGGCCGATGGGAGCGCAGGATCGGGAAACTACGAAGTCTGCTGGCGACGCTGGCTGAGCCCCCTGAGCAGGCCAAGCCCCGCTCCCTCCTCTCGAGAGCCTGAGCTTTCCTGGGCCTGTCTGCGGGGACCTCCAGAGACACCCTCAGAGCACTGAGTGCTGACTGTCGTTCTGGGTCTCACTTGTTCTGGCCGTGACCTCACAGTGGTGGGGAATCGGGCCCGTGCCGAGAGAAGAGACGAAGGCAGGGCCATCTGGGAGTCACCAAAAATCTGCATTCTGGTTCCTCAAATACTCTGTTTTTGCTGTTTTATTGTTATCTGCCGTGCTTTTGTGCAGAGCACAAGCTGGAAACATCCAGAACCCACTGGCGCAGCCCTCCTGTTTCTGGCCCCTTGCCGGCGTGCACACGCATTCTGCACGGCGACAGCGGGCTTCCGGAGAAGGCACCGTGTGGCCACTTGTCTTTTCCAGCTGCTTCCTCACCGGTGTCGTCTGAAACCCAGCTGACCCTCAAACAACACGGGTTTGGAACCACTGCCACGAGGATTTTCTCCTGCCTCTGCCACCCCTGAGACAGCAAGACCACCCCCTTCCTCCTCCTCCTCCTCCTCCGCCCACGCAACGGGAAGATGACGAGGACAGAGACCTTCATGGTGATCCACTTCCACTTAATGAACAGGAAATACGTTTTCTCTCCCTTTACGACTTTCTTAGTGACATCTCCTTTTCTCTGGCTTCTTACTTTATTGTAAGGATACAGCATACAGTTCAGAAAACACACAACGTAAGTAGGGGACTATTTATGTTCCTGGGAAGGCTCCGGTCAACGGCAGGCTATTGGCAAAATCCCAGGGCAGTCCAAAGTTACACGCGGATTCTGACTGTGCCGTGAGGCTGGTGGCCCGACCCCCGCGTTGTGCTCGAGGGTCAACTGCATAATTGAACTGTGGGTGTGAACTCTTACTCTCCTTTCTCCATCATGAAAGCAATGCAAGGCTGCTGGTGGACAGTGGGAAAGTACAAAAAGGGTACAGGCGAGGAAACCCGCTGCCACAATGCCCCGTCCAGGGTGGCATTGCCGCAGGGCGTGAGTGGGGTGTGGCTCCCTGCCCTCCTTTTTCCCTTTTGGTTTCCGCAGCATGGACATCATCAGCCTCCACTCCACCCTCCTCCTTCCCTCGTCTGCCCAGCGTGACGCAGAGCGCATAAGAGGCAGGCAGAGCTGCAGCTTCATGAGCGCCGCTGGGCCACTCTGAACTGCGGTCTCCTCCTCTCTCCAGTGGAGATGTGACTCCGTTCTTGCCTCAGAGAGCTCTTACGAGAACTCAAGGGGACCCACACTTTCCTTTTCCGCTTTCTTTCCTTCCCCCCAGTCCTCAACCTTCAGTGCCTCCATGTTTCACCCTAGCCTCTCCCTTTCTTCAGCAACTTCTAGAAAAAGCCTTCACCTCCTCCCATCGCCACACACAGCCCTCAGCTCGTCCCCCTGCTGACCCTGCCTTCCCAGGCCCCACCCGCCTCCTCAGTAGCCTCCAAGGCCTCTCCTGGCCTCCATCCTTCCCAGTCTTCCTGGGCCCCACCGCCTTGGCCCTGGACAGCCTCCGGTTCCTCTTCCTCCTCCTCTTTCTCCAAAGGGAAGACATGCCTGGTTCTGTCCTCTACACTCTTTTCCTCAGGAAATAGGCTTGCTCCTCCAGCTTCTCTCACGACTTTTGTACAGCCAAGTTCAGAAATTTCTCATCCGGAGCCACCGCCTCCGCCCCGAGCCCCAGACTCACGCCCCAACACTCAGCCAGCTCGCCCCAAACTCAGTTCCCAACGTCCCTCCTCTAACACGTCTCTAAGCGCTCCTATTTCTCTTAAAGGCACCATAACTTTTCACGGACTCCTAAAAGCCGTCTTTGAGGCCGGGCGTGGTGGCTCCCGCCTGTAATCCTAGCACTCTGGGAGGCTGAGGCAGGCGGATCGCTCAAGGTCAGGAGTTTGAAACCAGCCTGAGCAGGAGCGAGACCCCGTCCCTACTAAAAAAAAATAGAAAGAAATTAATTGGCCAACTAAAAATATATAGAAAAAATTAGCCGGGCATGATGGCGCATGCCTGTAGTCCCAGCTACTCGGGAGGCTGAGGCAGACGGATCGCTTGAGCCCAGGAGTTTGAGGTTGCTGAGACCTACGATGACACCACTCACTCTAGCCCGGGCAACATAGTGAGACTCTGTCTCAAAAAAAAAAAAGCCGTCTTTGAGTCCACCCCCAACCCTACCATCAAAGCCAATAGATTCTTCATTCCCACTCTCCTGTCTGGGCCTCCTATGGCAGCCTAGTCACACTGCCCCACGCCTCTGGCCAGGACTAACTATAGTTCCCTGATTCACCTCCGCCCTGAACCCAGGCCTTGCACCCTCCAATCCATAGGCAGATTCGTCCATGGACACCCTACGTGCTAATTAAGCTGGTCTACTCCAGTTCCCAGACCCATCCATGCGTCCCCACCTCCCTGTCTCATGCAAGCTGATTTTTCTGCCTACAATCTTCCTGCCCCTTGACTTCTTTCAAATCCTATTCTCTGAGCCTTTAGGAGGCTTTGCTTATTAGCCTGCCAAACAAAAGTCTGTTATTATCTTAAAGAAGCAAGCTATGTTTGGAGATTTGAGATAATGTGGAAAAAAAATATGTATGATCTAACATTAAGTTAAAAAGATGCAAAATTGTACATAAACCTCAACTCTGTCTTAGAAAATGTAAAGAAAACCTACAATGGAATACATCTTTGAATCTCCTTAGAGCTGAAGGGGGTTTACATTGGGAAGAGGAGTTCAGTAGATTCATTTTATTTTTTTCCACATTATCTACAGTCACAAAATTTCATGTTCCATTTTATCATTTTTTCCCCAAATAAGCTTGTATCCCTTTCATAATGTGAAACTACCTTGCGAGTCTAACCTTTTCCCCACAGACCTTCAGCTGTGGAAGAAAGGGAGAGATCTGGAGGTGTGGAAAGTGAGTTTTAAAGCAGGGGTCCAGAGTAGACGACTATACCCAAAAAGTATGCTGCCATAGGAACAGAGTATTGTTCGTTGCCCAAAACTACCTCTTTTCAACCCAAACCATAGGGTCAGGACAAATAGCTCATCCTGGCACGATGACAGGAAAGACCAAAGGAAAAGAAAATCACATGACCCAGCATCTGAGAAGAACACTGTGCTTGTGGGCCTGGAGGGTCAGCACCCTGGTAAGTAAGTGCAGAGATGAGGGGGGTCTTCAGGGCAGCCCCCTCGGAGACGGGAGGTGGGACGTGCGTGCTGCCCGCTCCCCCAGTACCACAGGACTTTAGTGCCTCCCACTGTAAAGGTCGTTTAAATTTCTCTTCCAATATCATAGATTTCTTAAAGAAAGGGAATAGCAAAGCCCAGCTTCCTATGTATTTTCTGTTTATTAAAAAAAATAAATAAAAGTTGAAAATGTTTAAAATCAAAGTCATCTCGAGCACTCCCATGCCCAGCGCTCACATTTCCTAAACCAAAGAGATGAAAATGCATAGACTGCAGGGAAGAAAAAAAAAAATGAATCAAACTGTTACCCACTCCAGCAAAACTGCAAGCTAGCTGATGTGTGAGGAGGGGAAAGGGGACTTTAAGTGAAAGAAATAAACTGATTCTTGGCTGGGTTGGATATAAATTATATCCAAAAACAATGAATTGCTACAGGAATAGCTTGGGGTGGGAAGTTTCAACTAGTTCTAGACTCATGACCTGTGTTTCATTTCAAATGAGTCATGATGAAATTGGGGAAGCCAGTCTGTTTAGAAGCCAACATTACCAAAACATCGCAAGGGATAAATCGTGGCCTGAAATGTCTCTAAGTGGCATCTGGTTTAAGAGAAATGGGTAGTTAATTAGACAAGACTAAAGATGTGCCTAAGCATGAATAAATTCCTAGATTTTTTTTTTTTTTTGAGACGGAGTCTCACTTTGTTGCCCAGGCTGGAGTGAGTGCCGTGCGTCAGCCTGGCTCACAGAAACCTCAACTCCTGGTCAGCGATCCTACTGCCTCAGCCTCCGAGTAGCTGGACTACAGAATGCGCCACCAGTGCCCGGCTAATTTTTTCTATAGTAGCTATTAGTTGGCCATTAATTTTTTTTTTCTATTTTTTTTTTTTTTTTTTTTTTTTGAGACAGAGGTCTCACTTTTTGTTGCCCAGGCTAGAGTGGAGTGCCGTGGCGTCAGCCTAGCTCACCCAAGCACACTCCAAAACTCCTGGCGCTCAAGCGATCCTTACCTGCCCTCAGCTCCCAAGTAGCTGGACTACAGGCATGCGGCCACCATGCCCGGCTAATTTTTTGTATATATATCTTTAGTTGGTCAATTAATTTTTCTTTCTATTTTTAGTAGAGACGGGGTCTCGCTCAGGATGGTTTCGAACTCCCAACCTCGAGCAATCCACCCGCTCTCGGCCGCCAGAGTGCTAGGATTACAGGCGTGAGGCCACCGCGCGCCGGCCCTCCTATTTTATAGTTAGAGATGGGGTCTCACTCTTCCTCAGGCTGGTTTCAAACTCCTGACCTCAATCAATCCTCCCTCTTTGGCCTCCCAGAGTGCTAGGATTACAGGCGTGAGCCACCGCGCCGGGCCCCTAGGATTTCTTTATACTCGGTGATGAAATTATCAGGTCTGAGTTAACAGGTTTCTCCCTTTGAAACCTCTACCTTCCTACTTCAAGGAACTTTCTGCCTTCTCTGGCCCAAACATCTCACTTTCTTTTTTCTTCCCAGCCTCCAGAACTGTGGAGAAACATCTCACTTTTAACATCTGGATCCAACTATAGTTCTCACCATCTTCTGCCTTCATCTCTGCAAATCCCCTCTCAATAAAAACAGCCAATAAAATCAGCACAGCCTTTAGCCGGGCATGGTGGCGCATGCCTGTAGTCCCAGCTACTTGAGAGGCTGAGGCAGGAGGATTGCTTGAGCCCAGGAGTTTGAGGTTGCTGTGAGGCTAGGCTGACGCCACGGCACTCACTCTAGCTTGGGCAACAAAGCGAGACTCTTGTCTCAAAAAAAATCAGCACAGCCTGTCTCCAGGGTGTACTTTGCTTCAAAGTAACCTGGATTCAACCTTCAACCTTCCAACACCTGGATTCCAGATCGAGCAAGGACTGTCTACATGCATACATCTCACCTAGAGACCCCACCCAGTGCTCCGGGGTTGGAAACTTTTTAAACAATTTCCTTCTGACCAGTGCTTTCACATTCCACCTCTGGAAGACACCTAATTACCTCAGCCTCAACCAACCATTTTCAAGATAAAATCAGTTCCAAGATGCAATCGGCATGTTCTTCTCCCACCCCAACTCATGCTTTGACCTATGTTCTGACTGAGGGGACAGAAGGCAAAGATTAATGGATGCAGAAGAAAGGCTAGCTAGTTTGTTACCTGAGAAGACAGGGAACTGTCTACTTGGATTTACAACAGGTTGAGTGTCTCAAATCTGAAAATCCAAAATCTGAAACTTTTTGAGCACCAACATGATTCTACAGCTGGAAAATTCTACACCTGACCTTATGTGATGGGACACAGTCAAAACTTAGTTTCATGCACAAAATTATTAATACTGTATATAATCACCTTCAGGCCATAATGTATATATGAAACAACTGAATTTTGTATTTAAAACTTGGGTCCTAGCCCCAAAATATCTCATTGTGTATATGTAAATATTCCAAAATCAAGAAAAAATACCCAAATCTGAAACACTTCTGATTTCAAGTTGTTGTTTTTTTGAGACAGAGACTCACTCTGTGGCTTGGGCTAGAGTGCCGTGGAGTCAGCCTAGCTCACAGCAACCTCAAACTCCTGGATAAAGTGATCCTCCTGCCTCAGCCTCCTGAGTGGCTGAGACTACAGGATTGCACCACCATGTCTGGCTAATTTTTCTATTTTAGGTAGAGGCTGGGTCTCGCTCTTGCTCAGGCTGGTCTCGAACTCCTGACCTCAAGTGATCCTCCCGCCTCAGCCTCTCAGAGTGCTAGGATGACAGGTGAGAGCCACCGAGCCCAACCCCAAACATTTTGGATTAGAGATACTCAACCTGTACTTTAAATCGCCTTCCTTAGGATCAGCATCCTTTCATAGTGGATGCTGAAGTTCCATCAAGAAGTCCGGCGGAAACGAGAACTGAACTACCCAAAGTAGTTGGAAAGGAGAGAGCAAGATTGGGTGAAAAACAAAACAAAGCACAGGACAATGAATCTCAGGACTCATATCCTGGCCCGAGCCAGGATAACTTTCTGAACTTCAGAGAAGCTTTCTGAACTTGTCTCCTTGGCTATAAACTAGAGATTAAAATATTATGCTTTCAGAATTTTAAACAAAAAAGTCTTTATAAATTTTTATGTGTACATATTACATATTTTAAAGTAACAAAATTTTTTCATTTTGACCCATGAAAGTAAGTGGCCAGAGTTGCCTTTCCAGAAACGTCCGCCCACGGCCGTGGTGTTGTTCTCCTGGGCAGGCACACCGCAGCACCCAGACTCACGCTGCACGGCCTCGCCCCTTCCAGAGGCCTCTCCTCCTTCCCCACTCTACGCAAATGTGACCATTGGTGAAGCCACTGGTTCTAAGCTTTTGGGAAGTCACAGACCTCTTTGAAAATCTGGGAAAAACTATGAACCCCCTCCACAGAAAGAGCATGCAAATCCACCTCTTCACACAAACCTGGCACAGAACTCGAGAGGTTCCCTTCCAGATTACAAGCCTCTCCTGTACCCCCCACCTAGCGTAAGACTCTCTTCTTCCACGAAACGTCCACGACTCCCCCAGTCCACAGTGGCCACGGCAGAGATGGCCAGTGCTGTCAGCATGTTGCTCATACTGCTTTGCCTGATTCTGCAAGTTCTGGGGTTGAGACGTCTTTACAAACAGAGTGTGTATTTCTCAACGACACGTCTTCCTTGTGGTGCCCTTGTGGTACCCTTGTGGTGCCCGAGTACCAAGTTACGGCCACTGTACAGTGGGCACGGGAGTTCTGGAAAACAAGGTGCCTCCCAGCACTCAGCAGCTGGAGACAAGGGGGCTTAGGCCACCAGGAGGGGAGCCACATACTACCAGAGCTGCACCTGCAGCCAGAGGCAGGTATGGGGAGGGAGGGGGAGCACCTGGCATCTTCAGGGCACCCCGTTTCCTTCTGCTGATGTCCTTCGCTTCGCAAGTGCCTCAGAAAGGTTTAGATGCAACACACGTCTACTCTGCTCGTGACTATTTCCCTCTGTGGTTAGGAGGGTAAGTAGGCTTCAAGAGCCAGGGAGTCATGCCAGTGAGCTGACTCTCACGGGCAACGGACGCGATGTCTGTGGGCAGTCAGCAAGCGGGACTGGCCTAGTGGCCCACAGAGGAGCACCGCGTGCAAAGCTCAGACGCAGCAACGGGTTTGGCGTGTGTGCACTTTCACCTGCTATCACAGAGAGAGACGCCCCGGGTACTTACCGGTATTTGAGTAATTCTGGAGAATATTTTGACTTGGCTTTGAAAATCACCTGCAACGACAGAAAGACATGGCAGGTTGGGGGTGTGACATGCTGACACAGACAAGCGGATACCATCCCCTGGGGTTCCTCTTCCCCTTTATACCCAGGTGCTGGGGCTCGCTGTCTGAAAGTGAGGTCTACATTTTGTGACAATGTTTGTCGTGCCAAATTTTTTTTTATGCCGTGCACACAATTTTAAAAGATATTTTAAAATGGTTAAAAAAGAAAACAAAAATAAAGCTGTTAGTCGTCTACTTCTGCCAAGTGCTTCTCTTATTTTAAGATTCTTATTTAAGATAAATAGTCCACCCTCTTTATTAGAATTTTTGCTGGCACCAAATTAACACTGTTGAATATAAGTGTCCGCAGGCCTCAAACTTTGCAGGACATTTAAAATTACAGGACACCTTTGGAACATGGAAGCATCCAACTGGGCTGTTCTGTATGAGAGAAATATTGCAGATTGGAATTTCTCGGGCTCTTTAGAAGCCTGCACAATTGCTGAAGTGCCCACGCACAGCAAGCGTGGAGCCTGGGTTTTAAGAAGGCAAAGAGGAGACAGAAAGCAGGTGTTGGCCAGGTGCAGTGGCTCACGCCCATAATCCCAATGCTTTGGGAGGTCAAGGCGGGAGGATCGCTTGAGGCCAGGAGTTTGAGACCAGCCTGGGCAACACAGCAAGACCCCATCTCTACAAAATATTCTAAAATTAGCTGGTCATGGTGGTGGGTGCCTATAGTCCCAGCTACTCAGGAGGCTGAGGCAGGAGGATTACTTGAGCCCAGGAGTCCGAGGCTGCAGTGAGCTATGACTGAATCACCACACTCCAGCATGGGCCACAGAGCAACACCTTATCTCCATCAATCAGTCAATCAATCAATCAATAATAAAATAACGTGTGTGGGGAGGATGGCACTGGGAGGAAACAAAGGGTGTGGGAGAGTGGAAGGGAGAGCGTATCTTTTCAGAGATGATCTGCCAAGTTATCAAAACACCCACATTCCAACAAGTTTGGACCCTTGGACCCACATCTCTCCATTCTCCCCCCACCCACCCACCTCCAGCCCCTGGCAGCCACCATTCCGCGCCGTTTCTGTGAGTTCAACTTTCTTAGATCCCACTTATAAGTGAGCGCACGTGGCATCTGTCTTCCCGTGCCAGGCCTGCTTCACTCAGCCTAGCTAGCGTCCTCCACGTCCGTCCACGGTGAGCAAGTCCCGGGATCGGCCCTCCAGCACGGAGACCCCCGTGAGCAATACCAAGCTGTGCACTCGCAACTTGCCAGGAGAGGAAACCTTTAGTGTCCTCGCCACAAAAGCAAGGTGGCGGCGATGTGCGCGGTGGACGTGTTCATTAGCCTCGTTGTGGGAACCGTTTCACTATGTGTGCTTATGTCAAGACAGCACACTGTGCACTGTGGATATATACAGTTTTTATTTGTCAATTATACCTCGACAAAGCTGGGGGGAAAAATGAGACCCACATTCCTTACTTCCCAAGCAAACAGTTCCCTGTGGAGTGCCTACACACCCTCTATCTCCAGGCCTTTCCTCCTGTGGCCCTGGGCCTGTGCCGGCCCCCTGAAGCCCACCGCCCTCCAACACACAGCCCTCCTGGGCCCTCTCCCTCCCGAGAGCCCCGGTCACACCGGCTCGTCCCCTCTTCTCCGCTCTCTTTGCACGCGGCACTGCTCTGGGGATCGGCTCGGGCCGCACAAATACTTGCCCAAGGGACAGAAACCTATTGCCTGAGGTGGAATCAACTGAGTGCCAAGCGGGGAGCGTGAGCTTCGGTTCTGGTCGTGAGGAGGGGGACAGGCAGCTCTGAGACCCATGGGGGCACGCGAGGGGGGTTAGACACAGCTGCCCCCTTGTCTGAGGAGAAAGCAGGAGGAAACCCATCTGCTGGACTGCAGGGAGATTTGAAAGTAGCCCCAGGAAATCCTTCAGCAGATGTCACAGGGTGGGGACCCACATGTGACTCTGTGAGCCAGTTCCCAGGATACACAGGCAATGGGAGGAGCCATTTCCCCTCAGGAACCTTCTAGAAGACATTCTGAGGACTCGAGTAGTTGTTCTTGGACTTACATGTGCAGAAAGAATCACCTGGAGGGCCTGCGAAAAACACAAGTCCCAGCTCTCCCCACCCCCCGTGCAGAGATTCCAATCCAGCAGGTCCAGGGTGGGGGCCCAGGTCCAGGCTGGGGCCCAGGAACCTGCCTCGTAAAAGCTCCCCGCATTTAGTAAGAGCCCCCAGGCGATTCCGACACAGCCAGCCCAAGGACCCTGCCGCTTGAGAAATACTGATCTGAAGAGAACAAAATTGCCTGACCTGATATTCCTGAATAGCTTTGCAATCATTCATCTAGAACACACTAAAGCAGGCGGCGTACGAGAGGAGCTGGCGTGCGGGGGTCAGAACACGGGTCAGAGAAACACGGAGTCCACACACACGCCCCACCTCAAACTTCCAGTAACATGCTACCAAGAGAGCTGCTTCTCCAGACATCAAAGGGAGAAGAAACCGCAGTATTATAAAATTATTTGGCCCTGTCAAGGAAAGATGCGAGTTTTGCTTTCATATCTTGCCACACTTTGCGGTGCCTACTCGGTGGTGAGTAACTCGGTTTAACTCGCTGGGACTACTCTTATGGTGTAAGAGGCTTCTCAAGGTGTTCTAGCAGAAATGGAAGCTACTAATAAACATTGCTGGAAATAAATGCTGTGTGATCAAACAAATTTAGAAACTGCTAGGAAAACAGCATTTTTTTTCCCTTGCAGGAATTCTCAGAGCCTTTAAATGGTTAATATGTTGTCAATCTTCAGGAGACACATACGGGATACAGCAGTTTTCCAAATGTATTTGGCCATTTACAGCAGGGGTCCTCAAACTTTTTAAACAGGGGGCCAGTTCACCGTCCTTCAGACTGTTGGAGGGCCGGACTATAGCTTAAAAAAAACTATGAACAAATTCCTATGCACACTGCACATATCTTATTTTGAAGTAAAAAAAAAAAAACGGGCAAAAACACCCGCATGTGGCCCGCAGGCCGTAGTTGGAGGATGCCTGATTTACAGTCTTCCTAACGAGTGTTCCAGGGAACAGAGTTTGAGTAACACTGCCCTGTGGAACTAATAAGTATGGACAGAATGTTCCCCGCAGCCTTAATAACAGAGTAACAAGAACAAGCAGCATCAACTTAAAGATGCTGTTTGGCCTCTACCCTGTGAACATGAACACACACCAAGCGATGGACTGAGTACGAGAGGCTCATGGGGTCTTCAGCCCTGAAGGGGAAGCATGACTTACGCAGTCACGGGGGGAAGGGGGAGGGTCACTCACAGATCCAGACTCACTTCATCGTTAAGTCCACATCCCTGCTTGGAGGGGAAAAAAAAAACCACCAGCAGAGAAAGGCACAACCTGAGATTAAATAAAATCATTTTGATCCTCCCAAGCTCAAAGCCATCAAAATCAAAGCCTTGACCATGGTTTTTTTTTTTTTTTTTTTTTTAGACAGAGTCTCGCTTTGTTGCCCAGGCTAAAAAGTGAGTGCCGTAGCATCAGCCTAGCTCACAGCAACCTCAAACTCCTGGGCTCAAGCAATCCTCCTGCCTCAGTCTCCCGAGTAGCTGGGACTACAGGCATGTGCCACCATGCCCGGCTAATTTTGGCCAATTAATTTCTTTCTTATATAGTAGAGACGGGGTCTCACTCTTGGCTCAGGCTGGCTTCGAACTCCTGACCTCGAGCAATCCGCCGCCTCGGCCCTCCCAAGTGCTAGGATTACAGGCGTGAGCCACCGCGCCCGGCCTGACCATGGTTTTTAAAAGCTCTATCTACTCTTTATAATTTGTGGCAATTACATCTTGAATTCAAGCGGGCCTCTTCAAGCTGTGCTCGGAAATGCTTCCTAATCCTTCAAGTTAATCTCTAAACTTAAGTTCCTTAGAGTAGTACTTGAATTCATGCCACTTGAAACTGAAATGGAACATACGTGCTGACATTACCTGCATGCACAACTTATTATACAGGTGGTATCAGTACACATATAGATAACATTTCAGCACAGTTTTTGCCTGCGTTAATTAAAGGGCATAAATGTCTGAACCGTATAATCAGACCAAATGTCTGAACCAAATAATCTCTATTTAAAAAATATAGATCCACACTCTGCTAGCCACTCCTGTCTGTGTTCCAAGAGGCTTGGGAAAGAACGATTAGTGTCTGGAACCCGAGCCAAACCTCCCGGCTACTCCGCTCAGGCCACCAGGCTCCCTCACCCGGCTGCACGCCCCTGCCAGCCCGGCCCGGCGCCCGCCGACCTCCGCGGGCGCTGGTCGGGAGGAGGAGGCGGCTCCCGAGGGGAGGCAGAAAAAGATTAATGCCACTGTCATAGAAGAAGACAGCGAACATGTCAGAGGCTAAGGAATAAATGAGGCCACATAAAGACTGAAACTGTCCCAACTTCCAGACTGGTCGTGTTCAAGTCGTGAGCACCGAGTCTGCACCAGACACCAGCCCAGTCACTGGGCTCAAGAACTTTAAGAAATAAGGACGAGCTGGCCCCGTCCTGGGGAAACACGCAGCCAGACACGTCAGCGAACACGCAACAGCGGTGTGAGGAGGAATGAGAGGTGTAAGGAGGTCTGGGGAGGTGTGAAAAAGTATGAGGAAATGTGGGAAATGTGAAGAGATGTGAAGAGGTGTGATGAGGTGTGGGGTGGTATGAGGAGGTATAGAAGGTGTGAAAAGTGTGAGGAAGTGTGGGGAGCTATGAGGAGGTGTGGGAGGTGTGAAAAGTGTGAGGAGGTGTGGGGAGGTGTGAGGAGGTGTGAGAGGTATGAAGAGCGTGGGAAGTGTGACCAGGTGTGTAGGGAGGTAAGAGGAGGTGTGGGAGGTGTGAGGAGGTGTGGAAGGTGTGAAAAGTGTGAGGAGGTGTGGGGAGGTAAGAGGAGGTGTGGGAGGTGTCAGGAGGTGTGGAAGGTGTGGGGAGGTAAGAGGAGATGTG